ACCAAAGGAAGGAAGCTTTATTAAATAGAACATTGTACCCTGAGCTACAGCACCCAGTCACACGCAGAAAAACATGGTTGTGAAAATGAAGTTGTGTTTTTACTTTAGAAATAAAAGAAGTTGCTCAATTCTTTTATAGCACACAAAACACACGTGAAAAATATAAACTGCATGAAACACTCATTCATACAATTAGTGTGTAAATAAATTCTGGTGAATTTCTGGTGTTTTATACATATCTATATTTGTGTTTATGTATGTTTCATACATTTAAGCAATCTGTATACTTATAAAAAATTAATGGTGTTATCTTATGTAAATTGTCTAAACAACTGTCATTTATTTTCATAACCGACTCCAGTTAGTACGTATGTATTTAATGTCTTTCTAATTAAATGAAATGCTGATTTCCTATGTGTTTATTGTGTCTGTAGACATTATACTTACTTTTGAAACATTGAAGATAATTACTTACACATTGTACATTTATTATAATCTATAAAAAAAGTACAGGCCCAGTGTGGTTCTTAATTCCGACAGCAAAGGAAGATTTTAAAAGCAATTATTTGCATCAAAATAAGGTATCTCGAAACCGAAGAACTCAATTCACACTCCATAACATAATATTATTATATTAAAATAAAAAAAAAACGGAAACTTTTCAGACAATATTGAGTCAAGAGGAAGTGAATTTTATTTCATTAAACAAGTTGGGCGGCACACTCTTTTTTTAGAGATGTTCTCCGCAACTCATAAATTAAATTAACAATATTGAGTACCTATGCATTGGCACAGAGAAGGTAAGCTATAAAAAATTTATGTGTGCCAGCCAGACCGTCGTCAAACACAATAACGGAGTTGTTACTGTTACACATCGACAAGAAATTGGACTTGAGACCGTGTAGTGGCAGTTTCCTACACATCTAATAAGTAAACGATGCGAAGCCAATTCTAAAACAATCATATAGATTAGTGGCAGCGGTTAGTGATAATAAAAACTTGACTGGTGTCTATTCATCATTAAAGTATGCTCTTTTGTAATTGAAAGCATTATAGAATGAATTAGATGTAGCTTCCGTTTAGTTTATGTGTGAATCTTCCTTCATTTGACTTCGCGGTCACCGTTCGCTATTAAAAATTAGAATTCGGAACGTTTTAACAGACTTTTAAAATAATAAACATCTAAATCCTTGACCCTTTGTCTCGTACTGACTAACTTTAATAATATTATATTAGGACAATTATCTTTTTTTTTGCAAAACAATGATGCAAAAAAAGAACGAAAAGTTAACGTACAGCGGCATTCTGCAAGATCTGGAGTTCATAGAACGAAGGTCTTTATAGGATATAATAATATTTCGGGAATCTTACACACAACGCCATCTAGTTTCAAACTAAGCAGAGCTTGTACCATATGTGTGATAAATACTACTATTAGTGTTTATATTCTTTATTAAACATATGGTACTTGTTTACTTACTAGTCAACTAAGCTACTTAGAGGAGCAACGATGAGGCGAGGTATGTTATGAAGGAGAGCGGAATCCCCCTCCTGCCCGCGCCGTCTGCGGTAGTACCGGCCGATACGCCCGTTCAGGGAGTGTCACGTACATTAGTTGCACGCCTTTGGTGCAACAGAAGATCGCCGCAATACTTTTATTATTTTTTAATTATCTCTTTACTTTACTAATAATATAAGAGACAATAACACTCGACATATACACATTTACATATACTTATACTAACGATCCGCCCCGGCATCGCACGGGTGCAATGTACTACTTACTACTAATACTACTAATGTGGTGTCAGTGTGGAGTAACTAATTATACTATCATTATGATAGGACTCTACTACAGGGTCTCAATACTGCTATTTCAATATTCTATCAATAGACTGTCGTCGGAATAGTTTTGCACTTTTCGTATTCTACTAATTGTGTAAGACTAATGGCCTCCCGATGACTTCTCACTGAACTGTCACAGATACAAATGTCGTCAATGTCTTTGTAATAGTTTGGTAAACGGTACATATTGGATTTGTAAGGAAATTGTATATTTTCCACATAGGATAGCAATGTTGTTGATTTCACTATTGATGTACAGTGGCTTGTTAACATAAAATAGCAGAAACAACTATGTAGGTAATGAGGGCGTACACAAGAAAAACAATTCGTACACTGTTGAACACCGTCAGTATAATTTGTTAAGCTAAGTTACAATTTAGACGTTACACAAGCACAGAGTTACGGAAAATTGAAAGAAGTCAGAAGGAGTACAAGCAAAGGAGAACATTTAACATTTGGCGCGTAGTGCGGGGGCCCGAGCGTATCGGGAGCGTTGGGTATCAGTATCGCGTCGCAAGGTTACGGATCGACTGACTCCAAGGCGCGCCGCACGGCGGCGCGGCGTTCGCGCGATCCTGCGCGCGAGCATAATACGTTCGGCTCCTCGCACTCGCTACTAATAACAACATTGCTTTTGTTCGTCCGTTTGTTACAAAATAATTTTTATACATATTTTTATTTTTTATTAATACAAGTTTACGATTGTAAATATGACGCTACACTTAGTAAGCCTAAGTAGTTGATTTGACTCACTATTAGTATTTATTACACATATGATATAGGTATGGATTTGTTTGGTACTCGTATCGATGTTACTGAGTTCATGGATGATAATAATAATAATCTCACACATCACACACACGGCTGTCTGATCCCAAACTAGGTAGAGCCTGTACTATGGTAACCAGACTGCTTATAAACATACTTATGTATTTTTAAATACATGGACGACCGAATGGCGTAGTGGTTTGTGTAACGGACTGCTATTCCAAAGGTCGCGGGTTCGATTCCCGCTCAAGTCAAACATTTGTGTGCATGCACATTTAATGTTTGATTTGGTCTGGGTGTTTCTATGTATAATAAGTATGTATTTACAAAAAAAAAGTATATATGTATTTATATCAGTTATCTAGTACCCATAGTATAAGCTCTGCTTAGTTTGGGACTAGATGGCGTGGTGTGAATGTGGTACAATAGTATTATAAATACATACATATTTTAGATAAATTATACCCAGACACAGAACAAACGATCGTGCCCATCACACAAATATTTGTCCTGGGTGGGAATCGAACACGACCTCCGACTTGGCAGTCAGGATGACTTACCACTAGACAAACAGGCCTGTCAAGGATAAACGTGAATGATAAAACCGTAAAATAGATAAAATTATTTATTTTAAAATCATATCTAATTTATAATACATTTAACTGACTAATAAAACAACAAGTGTTCAATAAATTAAAGATTGCAATTCTTATGACGGACTGATTATATTACAATACTAATTTATTTCTTAATTTTTGATTTGACATTGTTAGTCAACAAGGGAGGAAGGTAGATTTATTATAAGTACAATTTATCATATTAAAACAAATTGAACATAAAATTATGATCAAAGCTACCTGATAGGAACATATAATGTTAAGTGACAAAAAAAGAATGAGACAGTTAATCAGGTACAAGAACATAAAAGGTTTGTATCTCTTTGGCGATGCAGAGTTTTTTGCATAAAATGGCGTAAGTATTTAAAACAGAACTTTAACAAAACAGCACCAAGGAAAACTATAAGTAGCAATACTTTTGGTCTAAATTCTTAATATTTTGGAAGAGTGCTATGTTCCACTTATTATTTGCCTTAAATGGTATATACATAATTATAGCTACAACAATTGCAGTAAATCTAAAACAGACATTTATTCGATTTATAGACAGTCCAAATTAATAAAAATAAATAATATTTCTAAATGATCATCTATCTTGATGGAATTTAATTTAGGAATAGATATCTTGTTATTCAGCTATTTTTCTGCTAGTAGGGCGAGTTCCAACCAATTAAGATGTCAAGAATGAACATTCAGGAGTCCTTTACAACAAAAAAAAGGCTTGATAAACTCACTCGGTGAAAAGCAACAAAGGAACCGCTTAACACCTGTTTTCTGTGCTGTATGTGGATCTTCCACGGTAGGCATGGTTTACAATTAAGTGAGGGTCAATTTCTAATAGATTGCAATGACCTTTTTATTTAGATAAGTTATCACCGCTGTTACTCCTATTACGCAATAAATAACAAACTTGTGCACTTTTTAAGTGACACTATGTAGATGCGTTGAAACGATGTGTCAAAATCTATCATTAAGTTTTGATCATTTCCTTACAGTCGTAATTGATAACCCTTAAGATTTTTTAATCTTTATCCTTGAATCTGTAAACCGGAAAAGTTGCGAAATGTCAAGATTAGGTTCAGTTTTACTTAAATTTAACTCGGCGTTTCAAAATTTCTGTATAGTTTCATATTTGACTTGTATAAGATTATAAATGTTTGTTTTAGAATCGTGCAGCTGGCTATTTATCAACAACTTTCCAATAATCCATTATTTTCTTCAATTATTTATTTGCAGTCTTTAAGAGTCTAATTAGGTAATTATGGTTCAGAAATAACGATTAAAGGAAAGCCTTATTGCTCAATCGAACAATCATTGTTTGGTACACTTCATATGATTGTTGTGTTGGGTTGTGTCACTTCATGTGATGTTTAATCCTGAAGAATAGAACAGATGGCATAGTTTCAATCTAACATACGCGGTCCCCAACCAACGACTAAATATGGTGTTTAGGAAGAATGCTCTATGCATACGCTTAAACCTATATTTAAACTATACGAGAAGAAATAAATTATTTGTTGTCAAATCTAAACGAGTGCTGAAAACAGACGGATTATTTGAATAAATTGCAATCTTACTGCTGTTATACATTCTCTTTACATTCCTAAAAACAGTTCAGAAGTGGGATTATAAAACAAATGTAACGAAAACTATTCTAATGCTGTGGGTTTCAACGTTCGTCATAAGTTATAAAATGTTTATTTGCCAGTACATATTGACCGTAACCATGTTCGGCTTCACATACACATATACATTAAGACGTTAATTGTCTTATTTGTCCGATTCTGATGAACAACCAGACCCTGAGCTTGGACCTGAAACAAAAGATGTTTTTTCATTAATAAATATTCTTTCGGCACATGTGAACATACTTGTGTGGTCTTAAGTAGAGCACAGTGACCTCATTGTAAAGAAGTTTTCACACTCTATGGTGCTTTCATAATATACTAAGAGGATAATTTTACAGCCATGCGAGGTACTTTTATAAAAGTTACTTCTTAACAACCGTTTTTGTCAACCTTTAAACTAAGTTCAATACTTGTGCTATCCTGTGTACTATTCGCGTCTCACAGTATCAACATTTTGCGACAGGTTTCTTTCTATGCATGTGATCATTTGACCGTTCCGGGAAAGGCAACAGAATTAGACTTTTATCATATGCCATGGGTATGCCAAGGTTACAATAAATTTCAATACAAGCAACTGAAAGATGTCTAAATAAACAATGTGAAAGCACATTGTGTATTCATATAGATAATTTAGAGTTAAAAGTTATAGATAATTATCAGTAGTTACTTCACGTCTTTCTTTTGTCAAAACACTGATAGTCAAAATACAATTGTATGTCGATAGTTACCTGAATGTCTTGAGTATCTAGCACGTCTACGCGGCTCCCGTGACGGACTGTCGGAATTGTATTCTGTTTCTGTGTCCGCTGGACCGTTACGAGACCTCGTCCCGCGACTTTGTTCGTACCTATTGTAATTTGGATAAATTATTACAATCACGCCCGATTGAATTGGAATATGTATATAATATATTCTGAACCTCAGAAACGGCTCCAACGATTTTCATGAAATTTAGTATGCATTTAATCGATCAAAGGTAGGTTTTATTTTTAGAAAAAAAACCGAGCAAAACTCGGTCATCCAGGTCATCCTTTCTCTTAATATCAGAATTGTAACAATTTTAGTTCAGTTCAACTAAAAACCACACTCGGAATTTAAAGTGTAATAACAACAAATAATGTACTAACAAATAAGTGTGTAATAACAAATAAGAGGGGTTTAGTAGTGGCCACTACAGCCAGTATTATTATTCAAATTACATTTACATACAAAATTTTTTTTTTTTGTCGACACGACATTTAGAAGTAATTCATAAAGATTACAGATCAGATTACCTCTCCCTAGATCTCGATCGTCGCCTGGAGCGCGGCGAGTAGGGTGAGCGGCGCGGTCGAGGCGAGTAGCGACTGTCGGGCGAGTACCGCACTGTCTCGGGCGAGTACCGGCTTTCGGGGGAATAGCGACTGTCAGGCGAGTACCGACTTTCGGGTGAGTAGCGGCGATCACCGTACCTGTGGGTATACACACAAAATAAGCAACACAATAACTACATTCGGAAATCGGTAAACATCCAATCACTAAAAGGACCGAGAATGTGGTAAAGTAACAAATATACTGTTCAAGGTACATCCTTCGGCTTCCATAATCACGCTTCTACAGTAGAAGTCCGATATTCACCTATAGGAAATATAATATTAAGCTTTAGGAAAAACAAAAACGAGGTCAATTTGAATATTCCTCTGAGTGAGTTACTTGTTAATTGTACATCGGCTGCCATACCTTGGTGGGTGTGGTGATGGTAACCTGCCGAGTGGAGGCGGCCTCGGCAGTGGCGGCAGTAACGGCGGTGGCAGGAACATCGGAGGCAACGGCGGCGGGATCACCGGATTTTCTAGATTTTCTAGCGGAGATGATACTTCTGTAGAAAAAGGATACGTAGAAAGTTTCGTGATCGATACAGTATACGATCTTGTAATATGCATCTGTAGTATCGTATCATAATAAACCTCTTTATTACACATCAAATATAACACAAACTTTTACAAGGCTTTCGACAATCTTTTACAAGCAATCAGCATGGCAACGTTCATTTCATTATTTAGTAAAACTCTTTCACATTTCTAGCACGGTACAATTATAATACAGTACTCCAACTTCATACAAACGGATGAAACACGAGCTATACCTACGCGCCTCGATCTCGGGGTGCGCTCGGGGCGCAGACAGTCACGGCTGTACCACAGTGTCGAACGGACGGTGTGTTGTTTTTTTTAACAATAACCGCGCGATTTTTTCTCTAAAAATCAGTTAATATGACGAGTAGGAAATATTGTGCTGTTTTTGGTTGTATGAATTCGTCAATAACGCATCCAGACATAAGTTTTTTTAAATTACCTGGAAACTCTGAAAGGTAAGACTATAAAATAATTTTACTTACTAGTAGGTAGGTACATAATGTGTGTCTTTTTAATGGATAAGTATTTCCTTTTATCTTACGAAAATAAAGGTGTTTGTATTAATAAGTAAAGCGAATAGAGTAACGGAAAGTTATTGAGACGAGTGAAATAGGTAGTTATATGCGGTTCTGAATGAATCATGATACGGTAGGTACCTACCTACTTACGCTTGTTAAAACTTCGATGCATGTGTGTTTTGTTACTTTCCATAATTCAAAGAAAAGACGTGGTATTTTATTTTTAATAATATTTGTTTATTATCTGTGTGTATGAATAATACTAGAATTTTTTTTTTACCGTCTGTGTGTCATTAGATAGTTTTCGAAATTTTCACAAAGTGTTTCTGCTGCTACTAAAACAACATATACCACTAAAAACTGGTTTCATTTTCTCGGTATTAACAACAACAGCTAGACTCATATATAATATTTAGATGTTTGAGGGTTGTGATTTTAAAACATTCGTAGTCAGCTGTTCAGCTTTTTAATAATTAATTAATTGGTGACCAAAGAATTTTTGTTTTGAGTTGTAGGTAGGTACCTAATTTATAGAGACGTTAATAAGCTGAGATAAAAAAATATTCACTCGTCAGCTGTTTCTTGCATTCTAGTTGAGTAGGTAGGTGTTGGAGTTTCTAAGGATTGGAGTTTTGTAACGCGTAAGGAGAAAGTTCATTTTTTTTATTCTATAGAAGGATTTTTAAGCTATTGCATAACTTTTATCGCGGGCTCTGAGCGCGGCGCTGCGCGGTGACCGAATCAAAATATTCTCAAAACCTAACGAAAAATACCTGACACCACGCAGATTTTTTTCTTTAAAAAAAAATGTTATGCAATAGCTTTACCGCGGCAGTCTCCGAGAGTGTCACATGTATTTTTTTTTCAGACGTCTTCAATGGTTGCAACTCATCCGGCGAGATGATTTGGAAAACAAACCTAACTTTAGTTCCTACCAAGTTTGTGAAAAACATTTTAATTTGGAGGATGTATTACATTCATCAAATAGAAAACTTTTAAAAAAGAATGCCCTACCATTGTTGATGCTGTCAAGCTTAGCTAGTACTGATCCAGGAGTATCTCTAAAAGAAGATAAACAAACCCAAACTGCTCCGTTGGTAAGAAATGAAAATAGTACACAGACTGAAAATGAAATCTTTGCTCAAACCTCAACGAGTCTCTCTAGCAACACTCCAAGAAAAGGAAAACTGAAACTTGAACTCGTCCAATGCAGAAAGAAAATAAAATAATTAAATCTACCAATCAAAAAACAACACGCATTTTTATTGAACACTTCCTATCCAATATACAAAGTATTTCATTTATTTATATAAAAAGGATATTTACAATCACAAATCTAAATAGAAACAGAAAGTAAGCAAATATAATTAAAATGCTGGAGACGGGCAGCCCTAACGCATGTTTACGTACCGCGCGGCTGTAGGCATTTATTTCTATCATGCGGCCGAGTTACACTACTGTATTATAATAGTACCGTGTTTCTAGTTCGTTAGTAGACACAATTCATATATATTCATATACAGAGAGTTTCATTTCCTTTCCCAAATACTTAAGCCACATATTCTGCCCTTAATTTCTAGGCGATTTGCAAAATATGAACAAAATATATCCAGTAGTTTAGCCACAGGACTCATTTTTGTGTTTCGTAAATTGCAACATCATGTGTACATGCAGTCATAATACATTGACCTCAGGCGGCGATCAGCTGTAGGTATACGCGGCGCGGTAATCACACGTTGCCGCTTTTACTACACCCGAATCGAACGAAATATGTTGATTATTACGTCATCACGATGCAACACGCGTTTTTAATTAGTTCATCCAGTAAGGACAGTCAGTCGGCCCTTGGCCACCGGCGAGCTTATGCTATTCCGTATCCTTGTAGATGCGCTCACGACAAATAACCGTAATAATAATATTGTTGTTGTTTATGAGATACATATTTGTTTAGAGAAGTTTTCTTGTGGTAATAATTGTTTAGTCTTATTGCTTTCGTTGCTTCGATTAAGAATACAGAGTGTCACCACCCCCCTATTCATCCCGCGGGTGTCGTAAGAGGCGACTAAGGGAGCAAACTACGCAGGACAACAGCACTGCAGAGAGAAGGAAAACTTGACACAAACCCTATACCAACCCGTCTGGCCAGCGTGGTATAGTAGGCCAAAACCTCCTTTCTAAGGAGAGGCCTACGTCCAGCAGTGGACTATTAAAGGCTGTTGATGATGATGATGATGATGATGATGCTTTCGTCATAATACATGGCAATGGTGTGAACAATTAATGTTATCGTGTGCGCAAGACTTCGTAATGTAAGGAGTCCTGCTAATTTTATTTTGAAAAGTCACTATTAGGTTCTGTGTGTAGTGTAGTGTGAAACTGAGTGCATTATCAGTCTTTTAATTTTATTGGGTTATCGATATCAACATCCATAATGCCGTGAGTGACCTTCACAGCCGCGGAATATCCTGCTATGATGTTAATTTATGGAAAACTCTATCAAAACGCATCTTTTGCTTTACGGACACGAATTTTTGCAAGGGCGGTACAAAGATTACGAGACAACCAAGGTAACTACTTTTTCAAGGAGTGACGCGTACTGCTGGGTCGGAAGCTAGTCGAGCATTCACGAAATAAACACGTGAATAAAATCGCATTCTTTATAAATAGATTTTTAAAAGCAAGTGAAGTGATTGGTAGGTGACGCTGCCGTGTAGGTACAGTTCACCGACTCATGTTATCAATGGTGTTCTAATTCGGAAATTATTTTATTGTATTTAGTTTGTTCTAAATTTGCATTTCTGTATTTTCGTACTAATTTTTTATTTTTTTATTTTAACCGACGTATATTGAACCGTGTTATCTGTTATTTCATTTTTTGTGATATCTATACCGCCACAGTGTATATATATATATATATATATATATATATATATGATCACATACATGATTTAATATAAGCAGAATCAAGCACCTAATTGTGCTTCTATCAAGAGGCACCGCAATAGGGTCCATCGTGTGAATTAGTCAGAACGAGAGGTCCGTAGGTCGGTGCGAGTGAGTGCGAGAGAGTACGTACTGTGGTGCGGAGACACGGCGCCGTCGGCAGTGGGCATGGTGGAGAGCGCCACGAGCTTGCGGCGCAGCGCAGCCGCCTCGTCCCGCGCCGCGTCCGCGTCGCGCTTGCAGGCGCGCGCCTCGAGCCACGCCGCATGCGCACGCGCCTCCAACGCGCTCAACGCCGCGCGCCGGGACGACTCCTGCTCGGCCAGCTCCAGAGTTAGAGCATCGCATTTCTCTCTGGAACATAACTTACGGTCAGTATATTTGTTTCTTATGCTTCCATGGCTTAATTAGTCAACTGATCATCAATTTTATATACACTTTTCCCGGCGTACTGAAAGAAAAAACGACGAGACGATAGCAATTTATTGGCAAAAGCTAGTGAGATTATATTTTAATAAATATCAACGTTTCGAGCCGGCCCCTGTTGAATGCGGGTCAGTGGGACAACCTGGTACGGGAATTCCCCTACCCGTTGATGAGAACGGAATTCCATATGCGGCCTAATTTGCACCTTATAATCCTTGACCTATTGCTTTCATTTTAGTTATATTTTCCATCATGTATAATGTAGCAAGCCACTAAAAGAAGAGTCGCGACTCTTGTTATCGAACTAATACTCGAGCTCATGTGCAATCTGGCCGGCGCTGGCAGCGCACTGAATAATGGGCCCGATACATCGAAGCGCTAAAAGTCCCGGGGCTGATCTGCTCTGGTCCCATAAACAGACGGTGAATATACTTAAATCTAGTAGTCCAACTGCCTGAATAATTGTTGGTATACAGCCTTGTGTTTGTGTGGTTTCAAACAATTCTCCGTATTGTGTTCAATAGTTTATAATAATTAAATATCTACCGTGAGCGAATTAATCCTTAATCCCTTAAACATAAATATATAAAATAGAACTATTAATACAATGATTGGCCCTGTATATACTGTCATGCCATCTCAGGATGACACTAATGTGACTTATTCATTGAACTATATGCCTTATTGACTGTTTATTGTCAAAATAAAGAAAATCGTCAATGATTCAAAATAATACTTAGAAATGCTTACCAAGTTTTTTCTAAACACACTAAGTTGAAAACATAATCGTTGAAAATCACAAAATTCTAGTGAGAGAACCACTTACTTATATCTCTGTACTTCTTGCTGTAGTAGCTCTATTTTTTCTACAGTGCTAGCTGATTCACCCTGCTTACTAAGCCATAACGATTCTTTGGCACTAAGCTCTCTGCAAATATGAATAACAAAAACTTAATGAAAATAGAATTGTGTTATGAATTTGAACATGATTAGTCTGTTTTTTTATTTTATCCTAGAGACTAAACTGACATTACGTGGGTTGCTGCTTTTTTGTAATTTTAAATAGTGCTACCATCAAAAATTGACTTTCATAAAAGCAAGGATTCGTTTTTTTTATATTAAATGATCCTGAAAAATATGTGGGTACTTATTTAAAACGGAATAATACAACATTAATAAGGTAATAAAAATAAATAAATAATTAATATTTACATATAACATGAAACAAATATTTTTAAATACTTCATTAATTACAGATATTTTTTCGATTACAGCATCAAGGTTCATAATTCTGCAACTCATAGTATATGTCAGCGCTATTAAAGTAATATATTTTTTAATATAAAGAAGTAATATAATTAATATTACTTCTTTATATTAAAAAAACTGAATCATTATAAAAAACTTACTTCAAAAGTTCACTTTCCCTTTCCTGGAAGTATTTTCCTAACACTTCCAACCTGGTCAGTGCTTCAGTAGCATTTTGACTAGTAGTGTGCAATGTTTCTTGTGTAGTCTGTAATTCCTCGGATAAACGACTTCTTTCTTTATGTTCTGCCTAAAAAATGGCGAATTAGTGAATTCCTTGCATGGTCAATTAAAGTAATAGAAATATATCTTCATGCTACACTAAAGATATATTTTATTATTTTTATTTTTAAGTATACACACTTTTTACGGTGTGGTTGATGACACATATTATTTATAAGTACCTAAAATGGCCTATTGGCCTAGTGGTTAGCGATCATAACTGTCAAGCCAGAGGTCGTGGGTTGGATGTCCCTGGGTGGTCTCAGGACAAATACTATGTAACGAGTACGATCATTTGTTCTGTGTCTGGGTGTAATTGATCTATAATAATTAAATATATGTGTATTGAAAATTACGCCTGCTACGTCAAAGGTCGCGGGTTCAGTTTCAAATTAAATTAACCATCGCTCGTTTAAATAGTAAAGGAAAACATGGTGATTAAATCTGCAAACGCAGCAGTAAAACTAAATAACATTTTTGAGGGTTTGTGAAGCCTTTCCACTATACCTTGGCTAAAGTTGTAGTCTAAAGTGTTAAATCTTTCGTATGAAAAAAAATCGTGCCCTGCAATAAATTGTTCTACTGACATTTACATTTATTTGTTTATACATGAATGTAAATGTCAGTAGCGTTTATACATAAATGTAAATGTCAGTAGTACACTGCTGTCAGTGTACTCGCTTATCGACACTAATTTTTATTTAATTACTACGATTGACTAAAATAACCCATAACACTTGTGGGTAAAGAAGTTATTTTTCTCAAAAAGAAATTTACATTTCACTTACATGAGAACATTTCTTTCACTTAATACACTAATATATTATACTTCATCACTCAAACATTTGTATATTACATCATTTTCGTTAAATAATTGACACTTTGAACGGTTACATTATACTTTTTATAGTAATCAATCGGTGTGGGTATTCAAATTTTCCACGACTAGAGACAGAGATATAAGTGTACCCTCGCATAGGTTTGCAAAATGCGGACTCGTGGTCACAATACAGGTTAAAGCACAGTAGTACTGTTTCATTTCACACGATCGTAATAGTGGTGTTAATTTTTTTTTAAATAATAAACGAGTTCGCATTCCTTATATCTTTGGGTAATTTATTAAAAAGTTGCACTCCCTCGTATAACAATGTTCTCTTGCCTAGTGAAGTACGTACTTGAGGAACTAAAATGTGGTCTTTTCTACGACTGCTACGGTCTGCATTTAACAATAAATATAACCAAATTTATTATGTCTATATGTTTTAATATTTATAATGATGTTGTATATGTGTGAATGCTGTTCCTTCTTGTAATTAGAGTAGCACATGGTAAAACAATTAATGTATGTGATTTTTTGTGTTTATTCTGTAAATACGCCTTAATAAATAAATAAAATGTTTACCTCATATTTAGTCTCAAATGTTTTTCTTTCTTGTAGTGCTTTTGATAATTTCGCTTTGATTTCAGTATGATCAATGAGAGATGTTACATCTACATTGGACGGCATTCCACTCTTCAATTCTCTGATAGCATCCTGAAATGGTCTGATTATTGCATAAATTGACGAAATAATGGAAATAGTGTGATGTCATCTGCCAATAAGAGAGGTGTCAGTCAGAGAACAGTTAGGAGGTCAATATACTCATGTGTTTATTAATTACTCTAAGGCTTCATACGGTAGGGCTGCTGGCAGCCTCTGGTGGTGATGGCGTATCGATGATCAGGATTAACGATGCCATGTAGGAGCCATTCATAGCAGGGCAAGGAGGGCGTCAAGGATGTCTCATTCATCTTCTCTTTTTCAACATTTGTCAAGAATCAATAATTAAAACAGTTAGAAACAGAAACTATTAGATATCTAGAGAATCTTGCATAGATGCAAATCAGGCCCAAATTAGGTTTTCTTCATATCACAGGTGCTTTTTGCTCACCAACCTAAATTCGATTTATTAAATAATATTTTTAATTAAAACGGATTCTTTTTTTCACAGGATGACAAAGCAAGGGTACCCATTGGAATGACAGCTGCTCTTAAACAGTCACCAGCACTAATGCATATGGATTATAGTATCCGCCTTCTAGATCACGATTGGGTGATTGCAGAGCGCCATAACTTAATACAGTCAATTAGGGAATTAGGGAATGGGTAGACCTGATGCTGTCACTTACAGTGGCCCTACATATAATGCAATCAGATCAGGCAAACACGCGTCGTCTACTGCAAAAACCCACTATTCTGACTACAATCGCATTTTACAACTCCCAGAGTTCGCAGATTTTGCCTCAAAACCAGTCGTTATATTTTCAGTCGATGGAGGCCCTGACGATAATCCTAGGTATCCATAAGTTATATCCGTTTCCGTTCTATCCGTTTTTCATTGCAGTGTGCATTCAACAGGGTCTTCCATTGTCTGTCGGTGCTACCGCATGATACCATGAACCATCTCGATGCAAACGGAAAAACTACCAATTCTGATTTAGAGCTGAAAAACTTTGCTCAAGCAGGTAAAATTTTGTCAGAGATTTGGAGTTCAATTATTAGAGATACTGAACCAGTAGTAGCAGAATATTTGCCTCCAGACAATGAAGTCGTTGGAGAAATGACAGATGTATTAGATGATCAACATTGGTATACAAGACATGTGCAAGAGTCCCAATACTTTTTACAAATTGTAAAACGCACTAATAAAGAATGCTGGGATAATATAATTTGATTTTGATCAAAGAACTAGATCAGCATCCACCCATGAGTAACTGAACAAGAACCTATTAATCTTCCTTCGAGCCTTTTCCCAAACTAGGTTGGGTCGGCTTTAAGCCTACTACGATACGGCTGAACTTCGATTTGTTACGCGGGGCGACTGTCATCAGACCTCCACAACTTAAGTACTAGACGATATCGAAGTTCTTGTTCTTGTTCTTTGTTTGTGCGACAATCATTAAACATGGAAGTTGAGCCCCATTAAAGACTGTTCCTTACGATATTTACTGTCCATCAATACAAGATGCGCTCATATAAAGAATTTCTTTAGTATGCTCTAAATACTTTGCGTCGAAAAAGGCAGCGCAGCTTCACAAACAACTTCATGGCCGTATTTCAAATATTGAAAAAGAAAAAGCTTTAGCCATATATTCAAGGCGAGGCAAAGAAGTTTTGTGCCGCATCGCGGCTAATGTTAAACAGGTGGGCGTCGATGACGTCACAATCCTGAATAACCAACTAGAAGCAACAATAATAATTAGAGATGTTCCTATTATTAGAGATGTTCCAGTGGCAGATACACTTTCCGAGCCCCTGGACTGAAAATCTTACGTAGGTAAAGATGAATGATTAAAACCAAAGTATAATACTCCCAAAAAAAAATTGTTAGTACCTTTGTAAGTACAAATAAATATTTCTAAAAAATTTTACTTTGAAAAGTAAACATTAAAACAAACCAAACGTGTATTTTTCTCCATTTTTTCCTTTAAATTCTAACGTAATAAATATTAAACAGGGGGGAGGGGGTCGGCCCATTCTCATTTTTTCTTATAATAGCGGGGGAGGGAGTCAAAAACTACCGAAAGTCTTAAGTAATAAATGAATGGCGCCTCATTGGGAATTGTTAGTAAAACGTTATTCCTACAAGTCTCTAGATTACAGCAGCGATAGCAGCCAATGCAGATGCTTATCACTTAAAGCAATTTCTAGAGATAAATTCTTATCATTGTAATAAAAAATATTATAATTTTTCTATCACAAAATTTACATACCTTCAAAGCATCAATTTCATGTTTTTGTAATTCTATAGTATTTTTCGCTTCATTCAGTTGTTGATTCACATCCTCCAATTGTTTTTTCTGCTTCTTGAACTCTTCTAAACCACTTTCAGCTGATACATACTTCAATTGGAAATTATCTCTGTCGCGACTGACCGAAATTAACTCCTCCTCAAACGCCTGCACCTTACCTGAATAGTAAAACAGCAAGTTAATACAATATAATCTTGTCTATACGTGAGTGTTGTATATACTTGTGTAGTTATAGAAGTTATTAAATATGAAAATGTTTATTAAGTTTATTTTCTATTTTGTTGGGTTTTGAGTAGTTTATAAATGACAGGATATTTGTAAATGCCCTTATATTCGAACTCATATCAGTAAACAATATAAGATTTGCTTTGATTTTGATTAAAGAACTAGATCAGCATCCACCTATTAGTAACTGAACAAGAACCTATTAATCTTCCTTTAAGCCTTTTCCCAAACTAGGTTGGGGTCGGCTTTAAGCCTACTACGATACGGCTGAACTTGGATTTGTTACGCGGGGCGACTGTCATCAGACCTCCACAACTCAAGTACTAGACGATATCGAAGTTCTTCGAAATGTTAATGGACTTTTTAGGGCTCCAACTACCAGTGACGATTGCCACAGATGTTCGTATGACAACCGGGACCGACGGCTTAACTTGCTCTCCGAGGAGCGGATAAAAGAGTGTATTTATATACCTACTTGTAAACATTGGTGCTAATTCTGTTGTTCAAAAACTCTCTAAACTAAACTAAAAATCGTTAAAAAACAAATTTGTCCTGTCAAATATTACGTTTTCAGAATAGGAAAAGTTGTTTGACAGAACTAAACAATTTTTTTGTGATTTTTAATTTAGAGAGTTTTCGACCAACAGAATTAGCACCATTTTCTATCTTAATATATATGCTCTTTTAGGTTCAAAAAAGAATAAGCACAAAAAAGAAAGCGTACTTCTATACACCGGAACACTTTGAGCAGAACAGTCTTAACAACTCAATATTAACTAAATTATTCTTGAACTTCTCTTCTTACCTTAATGAACTTAATACCATACATAATTCTATTACAAAACATTACAGATTAAATCGATATCGGCCATTCTTATATATTCTTCGATCAACAATAGCAACTAGATATCGGGTCGGCGCAAAAAATACGTCTCGATAAATAAGAGCGCACTTGAGACGTGAGCTCTTATTTTGTTTGGTTCGCTTAAAACACAGCTAATGTAAACACGTCTCACAATGCCGCAGTGTGTATTCAAAAGTTGCAAAAGTACTCCCCGAAAACGAAATTTAACGGCCATAGTATCTTACTTTCGGTAAGTACATGAAGAGTAAGTTGTATTTTAAGCTTTAAACTAATAAATAATATCAAATTTTGAACAAAATTACCGATTTTAAACCAGCGCTACAAATGTTTGGCCAAGGCTCGCCAACACACGCACAAACTTTTGTTTAACAGAACAGTAGATGCATGGAGTAGATTTATGGTGTAATAATTTAAAAAAAAAACTTAGAACTTCAAAATTGGTTGGTTAAAAATAGTTAAAGCTACTTTTGTGTCTGTTTGTTGGACTCTCATTAGATACTTAGCTTTCCTTTTTTATTTTAGCTTTCATAGCAATCCGTTTACGTGTGCAGAGTGGATCTCGATTGTCGCCAGAGAAAGAAGAGATGACTTTTATAAGCCAGCTAAGAATTCGGTTATATGCTCGGATCACTTTGATAAGCTAGATATATCCGAAAATAATAACCGACGTCGATTGGTTAAAACAGCAGTTCCTAAATTACAGGTACATTCATTAGTGATTCACAATCGAAATGTAATTTTATATCTGTTTTTCTTGTCTGCTTAAATGTATTTGTGACGTGATAAATCATTGTGTTGTGGGAATTCATGTTTATCTATTATTAAAGAGTCTTTTCAAAAACACAGATTCAATCCCCGCCGAACGACCCACAATTGGCAGCACCCAATACTAAACTTTTAGTATCTGACATTGAAGTGCAAGTGAGTCATTTTTTTTAGCAGTAGATAGATAGATAGATAGAACTCTTTATTTGTACACCATTTTACAAGAAGCATGATAGTTTCATGAAAGTGTTAGATATACAATGTCTTCTACAATCTTCCAGGCAACCTTAGGATGGATCAAAATGTAGTAGTATAGTTAAACCGCCGTAAGCTTGGCCCTCCTGATGGTTTGGGGGACGCGGGGCGGGGATGCATTCAACCAATTAGCTAGTGCGTCGCTGTCCGCCGGCAGTGACTGACGTGAAAGCATACTGTATTATTTTGCAACATGGATAATCTGCCGACTCTGCGTCACAAAAAGATTTAAAAACTTGAAGTTCGGCTTACAGAGGTTCTACTGTTAAAGTTCTAATAAAGAATATTTATTATTTAACTTAATTTTTAAAATTGTATCTGAATAAAATTTACATGACGAAGATATTGATGATTTTATCAAAATTATTTTACAGTATTAAATTTTACAATTAATCATAAAAACTTACAATACACTGACATTACAATACATGGAAATAAATAAGATTTTTATTACATCGTGTGTAGATTAAATGTCAAACAAATAAATCTGAAGATATCGAGTTAGTACATCGTGTCATGTATAGCCGAGCGCATCACCCGCCCCGCGTCCCGCAAACCATAAGGAGGGCCAAGCTTACGGCGGTTTAACTATAGTTGATGGTGAAATGAGTTTTTCAGGTTAATACTAACGAATATAAAAGAGATAATAACTACATATATATGATATAATAAATATACACATTCGCAAATATACATTCTGTGTATTAAGTATCGGGAATTTGTCTATAAAACAAAAAATACAAATTATTCATCTAAATTTATTTTATCGCCTTCAAAGTAGGCCCCATCGCTTGCAATACAACATCTCCACCGCTTCACCCAGTCTTCCATACATTTTTCATAGGCTATTTGCGGTATGGCCTTTAGCTCATTCAGCGATTTTTCTTTTATGGCTTCTATCGACTCAAAACGTTTTCCTCGAAGTGGTAATTTTAAGTTGGGAAATAAAAAAAAAGTCAGACAGAGCCATATCAGGTGAATACGGTGCTTGGTCGAGAACTTTTGTTGAATTTTTCGCTAAAAACTCTTTCACTATAATGGCTGTGTGTGATGGTGCATTATCATGGTGCAGCATCCATGAGTTGTGTTGCCACAAATCTGTACATTTTCGGCGGATACTCTCACGCAAACGCTTCATGATGCCTAAATAATATTCTTTATTCACTGTTTCTCCCTCTGGAAGGAATTCGGAGTGAACCACACCACGGTAGTCAAAAAAAAACTGTCAGGATCACCTTGATTTTGGAGCGACTTTGCCGCGGTTTTTTGGTTTCGGCTCGTTTTCGAGACGCCATTCTGAAGACTGTTGGCTTGTTTGCATGTCGTACTCATAAACCCATGTCTCGTCGCCAGTTATTATACGTTTCATAAAGGTCGGATCCGTAGAAGCTCGGGAAATCATGTCTTCAGCGACATGCTTTCGCTGCGCTTTTTGAACAAAATTAAGCTCTTTTGGAACTAGTCGAGCGGCGACGCGTTTCATGCCTAAATTGTCAATGAGAATGTTGTGGACGGACTTAAAAGATATGTTCACCTCACTAGCCAACTCTCTCAGACTCATACGTCGATTTTCGAGCACTAGCTTCTTGATTCTGTCGATGTTTTAAGTGATTCACCACAAGAAATATCATTCGAAACACAAAATTTAAGGCACACTCTTTGTTCAACAATATTTTCCATTGTAAAAATCGCCGAGGACTCAAAACTATCACCAACAAAAAGTGTAGTTTAAAACAAATTAAATGACAGATCCCGCTCAAATTTTGCGCGCTTAATCAGTACAGTGCTACCAACATGCAGTAAAAAATTAGAACGACCTCTTTTACGCGGGTCTTTTTATTGACATATTCCCGATACTTTTTACACAGAGTTGTATATAAATACATATACATATTTATATTCATAAAAACATACTTATAGATACCCGCAAATATACATACATAAGTACTTAGTAGTAGGTGTCATAAAAAGATGTGGAATTTAGAGATATTTTATTTAGTATATCTGTGCGGGTCCTGCCTTTGGTGTCAGTGCGGGTCGCTTAAAGCATTAAATGCCCACATTTTTTTGCATTAGCTTGTTGGTTTGGATGAGTTTTAATCGCGAATTTATTCACTCAATTCACTTCAATTATTTTTAATTTAAGATATCTCCTAACATATTCATTTAAATTGTATGGTGTAAAGGGCTATTATAATGTGTATGAAATGCTTAAGATAACTAACGTATTTATTTTGATAACGACTAATACTGTATCCGTCTAAATGGCTTTTGTAAATACCACATTATATGTGATAAAGTAAATACACATACATATTACACAAAAACGTATCGTTAATAAAATAATAAGTAATGTAAAGATACTAACAAACATACATAGATGTCCGAAACATAAAAAGTAAGCAACTAATATTTTACGTTAATATTATAAATTATTTGTGTTCAACGCGACTCCATACCCTCTGTAGTAGAACTCGAAGAAGCAAAAATAAACCAAACAAAACGATGTAGCTCTCAAGGCAATAACGAGAAAATGTACTTTATTTGTTGCTCAATAAGGTTGATTTTACACTAAATGCTATTTAAGTTATGTCTTTTCGTTTGACAGTGATAGGAGTAATTTATTCCTTTGCTCGTTTTTTGCAAGGAATGATCGTAAGTATTAGATAATATTTTGAAGATTTGTGACTTTATTACTGTGTACCATAGTTGTAATTAGGTTGAACTTAAAACTATTCTAAAACTTTTCCATCCGTTTGTTGGTAAACAAATGTAGCTGCAAAAGTATATATTCACGCGGACAGCATTTAGCTTTGACTTTGTACGTGACCCTTTATCTAGTTGCTATTGTTGATCGAAGTATATATTATTGTAAACATTAGTTAGTCTACCTAACATTAATATCTAATAAATTAGAATGATTGTACTTCTATTAATACTTCAACACATGTTTTTATTATTAAGATTACGCGTACTGTTATTATTTGCCTTTTATTATTTTTCTAAATATAGAATTGAATGTACTTAATCTAATATTAGTTATATTAGTGCATTTAGCCGAGGTGTCACAGATTCAAAAAACATGTTTTTTCGATTCAGAACTTGACTTTTAATTTAATTGCAAAATAACTTTGTAAAACGTTTTTTTCAGTTATCTCTCAATATCTCGGAAAATCCAACTCTTTAAAATACTTAATACCTATGTAAAATATTTTCTTTTTCTTTAAAAAGACAACTCCCGCAGTAGGAATACATTCCTGTGTGGCGGGGGACTTTACAAACATACATGAAACGGACACAAAGAACACCCAGACTCAGAACAACAAGTTGTGGATCACACAAAGTGTCGTCCCATGTAGGGTTTGAACCCACAACACTCGGCGCAGTAGGAGGCGGCGTGGCGACCGCTTAAACCACTACGCCATCAGTGCAGTCATTTGTATTGTTAACTGAACAGCATTTGTATTTAACTTTTTTCGCTACAATGCTGTATTTCCGAGATATTGAGAGATAACTGAAAAAAAAAGTTTAAAAAAACTAAAAAAACACGCTTTCTATAGAAAACCAAACTAAAAAATAGAAAATAAATTTGAAAAAAAGCGTTGGGTGCCTGTTGTCAATAGTAAAAAGCACCCCACGCGTCCATCGTATAAAACATCCATCGTGTCATATATCTACAAAGTTTTAACGAATTCTGACCGTTTAAAGTCAGTCAAAATCATGCCCAAAGGAGTCGGTTACAAATATACAAACAAACATACAAGTGAAGCTAATATAAAGCGGTTAAAAACGGGTTTCCAAGGTTTTTTGCAATTATTAACTCCTATCATCCCGACCTAGTCCATTCTAACTTTTTTAATGGATCATTATGTCAGCAATGATTCAGTTTCCGCCAGATTTCATTCAATTCTATCCAGACTCGAAATGAAAACCTTTGACAAGGCGATTACTTGTCAAAGTTAAAAAAAGTTATGATGTTACTTACCATTTAATTCGACTATCTGCTCTTCAGAATTAGCTCTCTCTGCCAAGAGCTCACTGAGAGTATTCTCGACTTCACTTAAAGTATTTTGCAACTCTCCAGCCGTATTTTCTGATACCCTGAGCAACTTCTCATTATCATCTAAAGAATTTCGTAGTCTATCGTTAGTGGCCTTAAGCTCATTGATTTCCTCTTTAAGCGATTGAACCATATCATCCATTCCAAAAGAACTGTCTTCGATTCCAGCCAACTTACTTTTAGTGGATGAAAGTTCCTCTTTAAGTATTTCACATTCCTGAAACCAATATTTAGGTTATTATAAGACATTTTATTTTATGACAATTCATTAATATAGGACTAATATCTTTGGAGAAGTGAAAGCCAAGGAAATCACTCAATATGTAGGAAATTTATAAATATTTTTCAATTTATATATTTAAAAGTTTAAACCTGAAAATATTTGATTCATCTGTTTAAAGCATCTTTTATATCATCAACATAATCACATCACATCAACAGCCTTTAATAGTCCACTGCTGGACATAGGCCTCTCCTTAGAAAGGAGGTTTTGGCCTACTTTACCACGCTGGCCAGACGGGTTGGTATAGGGTTTGTGTCAAGTTTTCCTTCTTTTGTCAGGGCTTCTTTTGTCCTTGTCATTGTTTTGCGCCCTTAGTCGGCTCTTACGACACCCACGGGAAGAATTGGGGTAGTGACATTCCGTATTCTTAATCCGTCACTACACGGACATATAGATCTTTTATAAAGTGCCTTAAAATTTAACAATTTTAAACTCTTGAATGATTGAATTAAATCGTTAAATTATTTTACTTTGAGTTGTCAATAAATTCACAACACGACCCTCAAACACTTTTGTTTGACCACACATTATAGTGTATTGAATTGATATGTGAGTGGCGCGGTAAGTGGGACTTGCGTGCTCTTAATTTAATCGTGGTGTACGCGATAAAACAGCTTCATTAATAAAAATTTAAATATTATTTGATATGCTCTGATTGTGTCAACAGTTTGTTATAAAAATTCGAACTTGACTGATGGTAAACCTTAAAAAATAACAATTGTTTGCCTAGTGGTTGAAATTCCTCCATTTTTTTTTTGAAAATCGACTCAAAATTAATGAATTCTCATCTCTAGGTACTGTAACTGTACTGCAGGTACTGTATCCGTTTCTATTTCAGGTTGGACAGTAAACCGCAACACCATGGCTCAGTCGTTCAATACTTTCGCTCCAGACAGAAGTCTTAAAAGCTACCTATAATTCATTAATAAGTATATAAAAACTTACTGTTAAAAAAAGAAACCAATGTATCTTTTTTATTATGCTAAGCTATATTGATAATAAAACGTCTCATAGAATGCACAGGAAAGGTTTGGAAAGCATTGTCATGGGCACCACGTATTTTCGTAACAGTAAAGCTTCATAAAAAGTATTTCCAATTTTTTTTTTACTGTGTAGTCAAAAAATAAAATATGTGAAACTTATCAATAGCTACAAAATATACAAAGTAAAGAAAATCATCTAACACACATGAGAGAATATGGGGTCCATATTGGCTCACATAAAAATCTTGGTCTTTAATACCGATTTGTGTTCGTAATAGGTGATCACTCTTTATAGTTTTTTCCTCATACTTTTTGTTCCTAAATTTGTATTACTACCCATGGAACTTATAACAGACAGTTATCGTATTTTTTTATTAATACTGTCATTACTAAGAATATGTTTGAACTCATAATGTTTTTTTTAGAACAGTTTTCTTTATAACAGACAATTATCATAATTTTTAATGTCATTACTAGAAAAATATTTGAGCTCATAATTTCGTTTTTCATAACGGTAAAATAAGATTTACTTATGTTTTATTTATTATGTTAACCTAACACTTATTCTCGTTTCGTTCGTCGTCGTAACTAACGGAGACCTTCCTGAAATACATCATATCACACAATCCAAAATTTTCCAAGTTCCTGCGCCTTTGAAATAAAATAATCTTTAAACCCCTCTCTGTAATATTGATCTCTTTTTAATTTTTTCCATTGCAGGTAGGTAACCAACTGAAGGATAACACTTTAAACTGCTTGCACTAAAAACATTAGTATTAACCAGGTGTATGATTGGTGATATGAATTCTGATGATTCTGAGTTTCGATCGTTAGTATTAAATATTTTTATAAAGAGTGACTATGATGATGTAAAATGATATATGAAATATTTTCGGACTACCGATAATAGAAATTAAAAAAGTTATGTGAACAAATACGCACCCAAGAAAATGGTTTTTAACTATTATATCTTTACCTACTTATATGCATATGTTGTGGATAACAGAAATCGAAAGCCAAAATATCTCTATGCAGTGGCGAAAGCTAAACAATGGCGCAGTGGTTTAAGCGGTCGCCACGCCGCTTTCTACTGCGCCGAGTGTTGTGGGTTCAAATCCCACATGGGACGACACTTTGTGTGATCCACAAATTGTTGTTCTGAGTCTGGGTGTTCTTTGTGTCCGTTTCATGTATGTTTGTAAAGTCCCCCGCGACACAGGATATATTCCTAATGCGGGAGTTGTCTTTTTTAAAAAGAAAAAAAAGAAAAAAAGAAAAAATTAGATAAAAGAACCTATCAACATTCAGGTACACTTTATCAATCTGACGTTTAGAATTCAATAGTTCAAACAATGTTAGACCCATTTTACACAGTTTTTGACCATCTAAAGGGAATCATTTAAGAATTGGGTTACAAATTTACGATACATGCTTTTATAATTTTTGCAACCTACTTTTTGCGATACATGTACATAATATGTAAACCTTTTAGCACCCTATTCATTCTGGGATCAATTAAAAAACAAAATCGGTTACATTTTTTATAAATGACATACACTAATCTGAGACTAAGGCTTTCGAAATTCAAAATCTTATTTAAAAACTAGTTTTAAAATTTTATAATTGGCTACAACGATATGGGTAATGAAGTGATACACCAAACTTATCTTACCTTAGAACTGAAAAGCAAATCGCGCTGCAAAGAATTTATTTGACCGATAAGACGACCATCCTGTCGCCTATTGTCTATGTAATAGTATCCTAGTGTGAACAGAAGAACAGAACTAGCAGTTGTCAATAAGAAAGTTAGCAGTCGGTTGGTACCATCATTTGACGTGCCATCACAGTATTTGTCACTGTAACAAGTCTCACCTAGAAATAAAAATAAGTATATAATAAATTACAAAGATAAGAATTTGTGGTTAAGTGGTTATTGCTCAAATAATAATTATATAGAAAAGGGTTAGTGACCCTGACTGCTAAGTTGGAGGTTGTGGGTTTAATTCCTACCCAGGGCATATAATTGTGTGATGAGCACAATGATTTGTTCTGTGTGTGGGTGTAATTTATCCATAATAAGTATGTATCCATATAAGTATGTATATCATAGCACAGGCTGTGCCGAGTTTGGAATCAGATGGCCGTGTGTGAGATGTGTGAAGTTATTACTATTATTAATATATAATCACAATTCAATTTTGAATTAATGTGTAAAGACCAATAAGTGTATATCATTTCAATTCATTGAAAGATTTTGATTATAATAGTGTATGACCACAAGAAAATTAAAAATAATTTTGTTGATAAATAATTATTTGATAAAGCTCAAGTTATCAAAACTTAAATATTGTTTATATTTTTTTAAAGGATTAGAATAATGAGAAAGGCAGAGTTCTAAACTCAAATTAGAGTAACAAACATCCACTATATACTACAGAAGATTGCAATGAAATAACACTGTGGTGTGTTTTAGTAGTCAGCTAGGCAATTGAAGGTGTAAAGAGATGTATTGGTGTAGAAAGGTAAATACTTTTTTTTTTTAAGGTTTTTACAGTTACATTAAAGCAGGAGAACCACAGCAACATATTTTAACGTAAACTAAATATATCATTTTTAAAACAGACAGATTTTATTTAAAACTTATACCTTTGAACTGAAAAGCAAATCAAACTGCAGAGATTTCGTTTATATTCAGTAGTGTTAAACTATGAATTGGAAATCATGTAATAAATTAAAAGACTGAAATATTGGTGATAAGAAAGTACCACACTTTCTTTAGTAGGTCTTTTGTAAGTAGAAATATAGAACAGAGATAGATTAATCGTTAGTCAGAGGTCAATGTGTAATAGATAAATTTGATATGTTTTACTACAATAAACAAAACCAAATATTTACTTACCAACTGAAGCAAACAATGATTTTGTTTCTTCACTTGTGCCCATAACTGAAAAATACAAAGACATAATATACTTCGTAAAAGAAAATCCTTCATTAATTTCTTCTGCTATTTCACTTTTTTCACTCTCATATGAAGGATGGTCTTCTGTATTATAAATAGGCGGAGGAGCTTCAGATGATGATGGCCAAATATCTGCCACTGTAGAGAACACATTTGAAATGAATCCTTGTGTATCTTCAACTTCTACAGGAGTCTCTGTTGTTGAGCTTAGAATATCTTCAAATTCTTGTGTGGAAGGAGTGTTTTCAACTTCTATTGATTGCTCTTGTATAGTTGGTACTTCTTCTGTTTCTTCAAAGTTATAATCTGGTGTAGAAGTTGTAGTGTCCTGTCCATTTTCAGGTATAGATTGAGGTGTTTCAGAATAAAGAGGGGGAATAGTTTCTGATGTAGTAGACAGTAAAGCTGGTTTTGTATCTTTTATAAATGGATATGTTTGTATTGTTTCTGGTGCAGGAGGAATTATTGGTACTGCTCCTGAGGGTGGTAAATTGGGTATGTTTTCTGACACAGGAGGAATTACTGGTACTGTTTCTAAGGGTGGTAAATTTGGGACGTTTTCTGATACAGGACGAATTACTGGTACTGTTCCTAAGGGAGGTAAATTTGGGACATTTTCTGACACAGGGGGAATTACTGGTGCTGTTTCTGGAGATGGTAAATTTTGATCTGTTTCTGATGCAGGAGGAGTTATTGTGGCTGTTACTGATGAAGGTGGCAAAATTGTCACTGATTCTGGTGCAGGTGGAAACTTTAATGGTGGCTGTGTAGATACTGTTTCTTTAGGCTCTACCGGAAGCAATTTTCCAGGTACTGATGCAGTTGGTAATATAATCGGAGGTTGATCATGTAATTGTTCTTTGAGTGCAGCTTCTTCATTGCTTCCTACACTTAGGGGTTCATTATTACTTTGATCAGTCCCAATTATTGACCCGATTGATTCTAGAGGTTCATTCAAAGGATTATTATCACCATTAGCCACATTACTTGACTCAGTTTCAATTTCTTCTGTTACTTTCGTATCCTTTGTATTAGTGGTAGGCAAAGATACATTTTGTTCCACACTATCAGTAGGCTCAGAATCAGTAAAACTATTAAATTCTTTATTGTCAGGCATATCTAAGTTCTTACCACTTAAGCTACCACTAATAGTTGACAGAAGTTGTTGAGCAGTTGTTTCTGCTGACAGCTTTTTTGGAACCTCTTTGTCTAGCTGTTCTGTACTTGCACCTTCTAAATCTTCAGAGGGTTTTGCTAGAAAATGTGAAGGCGATTCAACATTTTGTTTTAATTTATTGAGATCGGTTTCAATTGGTTTTTCAGTTTGTTCTAAAATCTCTGTTGTTGTTTTAATATCTATATTCTCTGATTTATTTTCATCATTAGGTAAAGGAATAGAATTTTCATTTGTTTCCACATCTGGTATATCAGGAATATTTTTATCAAACTTTTCATTTAACATCTCCTTTACATTGTCAAGAGATGGAGTGTAATCTTCATTAGAAGTGTTTACAGGAGATTCAGTTGTAGCATCTTCTTGGGCACTGTTAACAGCTGCTTCAGTAGTATAGATTGTGGTGCCTTCAATCACTTCATGTGCTTGTTTAACTTTATTTGGTTGAACACTTTCTTGTGCCTTAGGTTCATAAGAAACCACAATCAGGGGGTTCTTTTCTAGCATTTTGTACTCTCTTAAAAATTTTGAGTTAGCGAAGCCCGATTTTCCATTTATTTTAACAAACCATAACTCAGGATTTGTGCCAGCTGATTTCATGTAAACGATAGCTTCATTGTTAGGGCGAAAAGATATATGGTCCGGGTCAACACTAGTATAAATTAACAAAGTTCTGGCTTTTGATATTGGTTCTGTAACAGTGAAACAAAATTATGTTATAGAAAGTTATTACACGAAAATTTACATTGTAATGTACCGACATCTAACATACCATCACATCCTTCGTTAACACAAAAAACTTTATCAGGATGTCTGCATTGCAACCCAGTAATAGATAACATAAATAAAATAACTTTTAACACAATCATTTTCGCATTCTAATTAATATTCTAATAATATTTCTTAAAAACTCGCTAGACGTTAGGCCACATCATCTGTCAAGTCGATCGGTCGGTCGTTCTGTAAAACGCAACACTGTTTATGAACATTTTAACTACATACATTTGGTTTTTACGAATTAGGAAAATAAGTCTTACATAAAATAGGAATAATTTCTTTTTGTAGCATTGATTATCAAAATATGTATATTTTTTAAGTAATTACGACAGTGAGGTTTAAACATTGGTTAAAATTAATTTACATTGTATGAGTATGCTGCATGGAACGAAGCATTGATCTTACGTTCCGTTTCTGGTACAAACTAAATTACAGTCAGTGTATTTGAAATTTTTAATTTTTTATCAAAATATGTCGATTTTAGAATTAAATTTAAAATTGTACATAAAACCATACAGAAATTCATAAAACACTGCCACTGTAGAATAGTCGAAAATTAGGAATATTGAATTACTGTTGATAATTATAGTTTTAAGTAAGCGGGAAAAAATATTAATGAAATACAAGTATTAATATATTATGTCGATATCTTTAGTTTGTCTCTTTAGCGTTTGAACCTGAAACTTTAAACGTTGTGCAGAATGGTATTTAAATTTATTACAGTAAGTAACTGGGAAAAATTTGGAAAAAGCAAATGAATTACGAAGAACACAAAGGTAAGCCTGATGAAGTGCCTCGTATCTTTAATCTTTCTTTACGGGGGCTGAAGCCTGTTTTGAACCCGTTAAAAATAAACCAAAAAAGTTATGTAGTTTTGATAAATTATTTTAAACATCATGATATTAGCTTTAATTTTATTATTTTATTGATTTCATAACATGTTTTGAGATTAAACACATTCTCTACCTACGCGTCAAAATGTCATGTAAACTTTCTTCTTTGTATTTATATTACTTCAACCATGGACGTATAAAAAAGTCGGGCGGAACTCCCGCTAAGACAAAACTGAGGCCATATTTGGACATGCCGTAATCGTGGGCACGCCGTTATCGTTCGCCGACTCCTTCTGCGAGCAAGTTATGCTTGCAAAGGAGATGGCGGAGCGGGACCGGGAGAGGTTTAGAACTCTCCCGGTGCGCCAGGTCCAGCAACGGGCCAACTACCGCAGAGGACCTAGGCGCCGGTGGTCGCAGAATGACCTCCGTCCTCCATCAGCGCAGGCCTGGGGGTGGTAGGTGAGGCCATTCGAGAGCACAAAGGGGACACAGGGGTTCCCACACAGGAGGGGGTCATTTACACGCCGTAGATGGCTCGATATACGTCGGGGTTGCGGTTTCCTTCCTAGGGTACACCTGGTTCCCCGGCAACTGGTACCCGAGACTTCGTGCTGTTTTTGGTAGGTTCAAGTCCGAAATATCCTCCGGTGGGTGGTATCCGAGGGGATTGCCGCACAACAAAAAAAAGGGTTGCCAAGTTACCCAAATTTATACCCTAAAACACAGTCAATAAATAAAAATATTTTATTTATTCGAAATTTTACTGTTTCTACTGTTTATGAAAAAAAACTCAGCACTTCTTATATGTGCTGAGTTTTTTTTTAATAATAATCTTTTACTTTGAGAGGTTCTTGAAATTTCCTCTAATTTCGAGATGTGGTAAAATCGAAAAAAAAAATCGTTAATATTTTTCCGCTATATATTTAATAAGACTTATTTTGTGTTCTAGTCCGGTGAAAGTACGTGCAGATTCTAAGATTACAAAAACGCTTTTATTGCCAACAAACTTTTGTGAGGATATATTTGCGTTTTCTTCATACTCCATTTTCCTTAGAAAATTTAGTGAAAAGAATATGAAATAATTAAATACACTATTAAATGGATGTTAACAATAAACCAAAAATTTCTTGTATTCGGGTAATGTGCACTCGTGAAAATTGGCTACACCGGGCTTATAATGAATTCTTTTATTCTAGCGAATGCATATTTATTTTAATGTACAAAATCTGGTAATAAGACCTATTTCTTAGCGTTCCAAGGATTCACCGAGCGGGTGCCAGGTCCATCGCGTGATAGATGGGGGCAACACATGCGACTTCGACAGCGCCTGGTACTTGCCACCCAGGTATAGGTTTAGGGAGTACTCCTTGCGACGCGTCAGCGCTCACCTCCACTGTCTGCTGTGTTACCCCCTCTACTTAACCATATTTGATACGAGCCTAGCAATGCCAATTTTGATATTCGTTAAAGAAAAGAGCTTACTGAAGCGGTCGAACAGTCTTTAGGGATGTTCGTTTCCCACGGCACTTTGAGTTCTGCTAGTACTACACGCTTAATTGAAATTGCATAAAGAAATATGTCTGGTCTGGACGCCGAGGCACAAATATCCTCCGGTATTCTGTAATGATTTTCATACGTGTCCACAAATAATGGCGGTCTTCGCGTATGATTTGTAATACCCTATCATGGCGACGTCGATAATGATCCCGGTCTAATAACGCCTTACAACCTGTCAGTAGGTGCTTTTTTTTTTTACGTGTGGAAATCCCCTCGGACCGTCACCCCGCCGGGGCTCTCTGTTCGGCGGGGCGGTGTGTCGGACTCGAACCGACTAAAACCACACGGTGTGCCCTCTTTGCGCTTTTGTTTTAGGGGGGGTCCAGGTAGTTATCGCCTTCTGGACCCCGCCCAGCGCCGGCCCGCTCCTGGTGCGGGCTCCGTCTCAAAATTTTTACCTCTCTTAAGGCGACGTCCGGCACACGCGGACGCCGCCCCCTCGCGGCTGGCCAAACTAATGCGGGGAGGGGAAAACCCATCCCGTCCACCCGCGGCCACACTGGGGGCGGCATGAGGCGCAGGTAAGCGCGCCTGCGGCGCCCGGTTCGACGGCGGCGGATCGTGTTCGAGTGGAGGTCGTCCTACCGGGCCTTCTCCGCCGTCTCCTTCTGCGAGATTACTTCCTCGCAGAAGGTTGCGACCGCGGTAAAACAACTGTCGCTACCGGCCATGGAGCGTACTACGGCCGGTAGCGAGAGATCCACTCCGATGACTGCAGTGAGGGCCCATCGCTGCGTCGCCCATGCTGGGCAGACCGTCAGCGTGTGCTGGGCCGAGTCCTCACTGCAGTCGCAGTGGTGGCAGGCGTAACTCAATTCCCTCCTGGCGACCGAGTGCAGGTACTTTCCGAAGCAACCGTGCCCGGAAAGCACCTGCGTCAGCCGGAAGGAAAGGGTCCCATGCTGCCGCCCTGCCCACTCGGCGATGACCAGCTGGAGAGCCTCCACGGCGGCAAAGCCAGCGCGTGGAGTCTCCAGCCGGAACGACCATCTGACCATGGTGGCTCGGTGAGCGGCTCGGAGGGCGAAATCCGCTCTCCGCCCGGAAGTCAGCCACTCGCCGATAGACTTCGGCGAGCACTTCCGCCTCCAAATCCCACGGGGGTGTTCCGGCCAAGGCGCAAGCCGCCTCGGTGGACACCGTGCGGTATCCGCGTATGGCTCTGACCGCCAATATCCTCTGGGGACGCCAGAGGCGCGCCTTATTCTGGGCGGTCAGAGCCGCCACCCACACCGGTGCACCATACAGCGCCATAGACCGGATAACCCCCGCGTACAGCCGCCTCGTGGGAACACTGGCCCCGCCCAAATTGGGCAAAAGTAGCCCTAGGGCGGAGGCAGTGTCCACCAACTTAGGACCAAGCTGTCGGAAGTGCTCGTCGAAGAGCCACCAACCGTCCAGGACTAGACCCAGGTACCTCATCTGGGCCCGGACCGGTACAAGGACCAAGCTTACCTCGATTAGGCGCCGGCGGGTGGACCACGACGGGGCCCATGGAATAGTAGGGCCTCCGTCTTATCCAGGGCCACCCGCAAACCCAACGCCTCAATGCGCCCGACCACCAGGGAAACTCCCATGGCGGCCAGGCGCGCCGCCTCCTGGGAGTTAACCCCCCGGGCCGTGACTAAAGTGTCAGCCCGGGGGGGAGACGCCCTCGTAGGGCCCAGTCGTATCCAATGTTCCACAGGAGTGGTCCTAGGACAGACCCCTGCGGAACACCGCACGACATGGCCCTGTGTCTCAAGACGCCATCTCGGTCCTCGTACATGACGGTTCGCTCCTCAAGATAGTCTGCCACTAGCCGCCTCAGGTACTCTGGCACTCCGTGGTAGCGGAGCGCTTCCCTGATGCAGCTGAATGGCAGACTATTGAAGGCGTTGGCGATGTCCAAGGACACCGCCAACACCACTCCGCCGCAGCTCACGACCTCCTCGGTCACGGCCCTAAGGCGCATCACGGCATCGATCGTCGAACGCCCCTCTCGGAAACCGAATTGGGCGTCCGACAGATCGGGGCCAACCTCGCAAAGGTGCCGGACGATGCGGGCAGAGCGCACCCTCTCAAAAAACCCGCCTCGTCCAGCAACACGATAGGCCTATAGGCCGCGACCGAATCGGCAGGCCGTCCCGGCTTCTTTAGCAGGACCAGCTTCCCGCACTTCCACCGCTCAGGGAAGCGTCCGGACGCCAGGCTAGCGTCCAACACTTCCCTGAGGTGGTCCGACATGTAGTTGAGGGCTCGGGCCAGCACTCGGGCTGGAACCCCGTCCGGCCCGGGGGCAGTGTTCTTGGATCTAATCCGTAGAATAGTCGCCCCCAACTCCGATTCAATGACGGGCGGAACATCAGCCTCGCTGGCCCCGTCGTCTCCGGCTGATGCAGCCATCGACGGGGGTGTCAGTAGGTGCCTGGCTGAACATATTTCCGCACTGCACATCGTACAAGCCTTTCCTGTAGCTTTTCCCAACCTTACTAGGTTGCTTTGATCGGGGAAAGTCAATTGAAAGGCGTTGAGGTAAAATTTTAACAGGGCATTTGACCAATCGTATTAAAGTGGGCGCCATTTCAAAGCTGGTGGGATACAAAATTCCCCTGGAGTTAACCATTCATTCTACATTTCTAGGTTCATTGCGTGCACCTTGTAGGTCTCGTTTTTAGCTTGTCGTAGGTAAGATTTTGTTATCTCTTTATCGGTCCGTCTTCTAGCATTTCCCAATCCAGCTCTGATGACGTGCACTTTGGTAACTCTTAGATGTTCGTAGAGTTCCGAATGTCTTTTTAATTTCATTCCTAAGTTATTCGAGCTTGAAACACTTTCTCATCCAATAGTAATCCCGGGGTCATATGAGGTAGCGCCGCCGACCCAGACAAAGGCAATAGCATTTGCTATGTTTTTTTCTCATTCCCTCCGTCCAGGTACAGAATTGAATTATTCATTTACCTATGAAACGTGATTCCTGGATTATTTTTCTTACGGTCACTACAGTTTTTAAAGTGAAATGTTTTAAAAACTGTAGTGACCGAAAGAAAAATAACACCACCATGCGGAACATGTTGTACATTTATATTTTTTTCGCCGCGTATTACGTCTCGCTGACTTGATGTTTGCGCGTGTTTTGGCTGACTAATGTGTGTATGCGCGCCTGTACGAACAGCGAGCTGGTCGACTATAAGTGACACAGATTTTTGTTAAATAGAAATAAAATAAAATTTATTTGCAGAATCAGAATAAGGTCTTGGTTACATTTTGAATATGATTTACATCTTATTGTCATTAGATTCTTATATGTATAAAGTTTGTTACTAAAGCTAACATAAAACTAGTATATGACTATTCGAAAATGTGCAAGAGTCAATATAAAAAGGTAAAATGAAAATATAACAAATTGTTTTGCAAACGGCCTGAGCTAGGTATGAGACCTGTGTTTCAGGCAGTCGCTTGACTATGATGTTAGTTACAGGACGTTCATGTGTTAACGTTCTAATAGATTAATAAATGTAAATTACTACAGACTGATTTGTATACACAAATATTTATTACTTATTGTTTAATAACCTAATTATAGTTATAATTTTATAATTTTAAAATTGCTAAGATGTTTTCTGTTGGTACGTAATTAAGCTTACCTAAATATTCTCCTACTAGAGTTTTAGACTTTGTTTACGATTACGGCATATATTTTCAATACTTTGTTTATATTTTTATATACATAGATATGGTGCTAAGAAGGGATAAAATTTGTTAATGTACGTATGCGTTGTTTGGGGCTTGACACATACAATGTCGTTCTTTCTCTTGTCTAAGTCGTTTGCCTTTGCCGTCTGCTCGTTTGCCCCCTATTCCATAAAAAAGAGCCGTGTGGTGTCGTGGGACACCCGATAGGAACGAAGTTGTGACGATCGAGTAAAACTGATTCGACACGATTTTAATTACAACGCCATCTATGAAAGCGGCTATTACCTACATATTTTTCAGTTGGTTTCTAATTAAAACAATTTATACATTGGTAAAATCTCCTTGAGAAATGATTTCTATAAGGAACTTCGTTCCAAAACGTAGGGTTAAATGGTAGTTCTGCATCTTGTTTTAGTCTGATGTGCAATATAAATAACTGTCGAACTGTTAATAGTTTGTAAGCGAGTCTATGTTCGACTTTTTTATACATCCAATGGCTTCAACATAGAGTTAATTTTATAGTTATATGTTAATAAGTAAGATCTTTTTTATTGATGACGGGGTAGAAAATCTCTTCGGTACTCTCAGTTTGGTACTCGGAGTCGGAGGAGGAGGAGTATGTGGTGATTCCACTAAAAATCACCCCGACTTCCGTTCTCAGGTGCTCTACTCTGGGAGGACCCGGACCATGTTATTTCAGGCTCTCCTGAATTGAAAGCATGCCTAATCAGACCCTATCCCGGGGGATAAACACTTCCCCCTCAATCGCTAAGTGGCGGCCCAATTGCGTCTTAATGCAATCAGGCCACCATCCTATCCCCTACTGCAGTATTCAATCTGCCACCAGAGGTCCCCACTCTCTGGCAGCCCGCGGCCCCGTCAGGGGCTGGTATTGTCGCCGACGTCCTCTACGCTCGGGATCGGCCCTCTCCCGATCCCGTTCAGCGGTCTCTTTTTGGAGCATTACGCAGAAAGAAGTTGTGTAAGACCATCCATACCATCTATGCTTATCTTTAACACCCAGAGCAAAAAAAGAAAGTTTGTTCCTGTGTATCTGTGTAGTGTCTATAGTATAGCCCCTAGACGTTCGACATTTCATCATCATTATCATCAACAGATTTTAATAGTCCATTTTTTCCAATTGTCCAAATTTATCCGACCAAGGCCAGATCCTAGACTTTCTTGGCCATTCTTATATTAGATTTTGTAGGTTGTTAAAGACTCTTTGGATAAATTATTTCATTTTATCCTGATTGACGATAGTCAAAGTCACATTTCTGTCAAAATTGAGATAAAACGGCATCATATTATGGTCTGTAAGAAAAAAAACTGAAATTATGATCGAACAGTAAAAATATAAATATTACCCATGTAAAATGTCGAGTCCCTCTAATATTACATTATTAAACTTATCAGAACAGCTGAAATTTGAACTTGGTGAGAATGAATTAATAGTAAAGTCAAACTTTATAATTTATTGGCTGAGAAATAATTATATAAATAAGAAATGTAGTCAAGACCCCAATAGGTGTTTTACATATGAGATATGAGATGTACTTACCGTCTGAATCGTAATCATTTTGATTATACAGGCGATGTGGTGTAATTTATTATATTTTTCTTGTCATTCTTGGAACGTAATAATATACATTAACATATGCTAAACGATAGAAAATTGCTAACGCTGAAGTACCTACATCCTTCGCGATATCAGGTAGTTGTTAAAAGCAGCCACTAAATATGAGATTATTATTATTATTTACAAGGATTTTTTTGGATTCGGGGTGTATTGTACCCGTAATTGATGTTTGTAAAGTCCTCATGACAGTAATGTTTATGTAGAATGTAAGTTCATTTATTTTTCCAATTTATGATTTAAATTATACATTTCTATTCCTATACTATTGTATTATTTGACGACCGGATGGCGTAGTGGTTTGTGTAACGGACTACTATTTCAAAGGTCGCGGGTTCGATTCCCGCTCACGTCAAATATTAGTGTGCATGAACATTTAATGTTTGTATTATGTTTGTATTGTTATTTATATCAGTCATCTAGTACCCATAGTACAAGCTGCTTAGTATGGGACTAAATGGCGTTGTGTGAATGTGGTAGAATATTATTTTTACTACGCCGTATAACGTTCTTTGAAACAACCACTTAAGCCGTAGCCGTTAATAGTTAACTCAATATTATTATTATTAAGTATTGTTTATTGATTGTTAAGTATAAGTATATAACCCTGAGAAAAGGGACTCAACAGATACATTAAATGTACAATTGAGTGTACACTATTAGGTGAAATAATTAAGCTATGAAACCGTCAAATAATACTTTAAATAGTTAAAAAATTGTTGATACACAGATGATAAGCTGAAAAAAGATATATGTTTCGGTGAAACATTAATATTCGGCTGTGGCCATCATGAAGGTGGCGTGGAAGAGGGCTCTTCAGAATCTGAATGGACTTGTCGTGAATCTACTGTAAGCGAATCATCTAGTCATGTTTCTTTAAAGAAAGAATACTCACCATCCCCTATTATCCTTGAGGACTCTGTAGTGGAAGAGGAGGAGATCGAAGGTTTTCATTTTTTTTTCTTCCCTGATTGTAAAAAACCCCTACCACCAAAGGATAGTACAGATAGTATACTAATAGTTGATGGTTTACCACAAGTAAACGTCAATGTGAAAAAAATTGAGGTTTGTACTTGTGAGAAGGATGAGAAAGGACAATGTGAATGTTTTATAAAAATACCTTGTTATTGTGGAGCGAAAGTAACAGCTGAATGTACGTGTCACGACCAAAAAGATATATGCATTTGTAAACCTCTAGAACCGAGTCCAGTGTGCACGTGTGCAACTGATGCTAAAGTGTGCACTTGTCAGCCTGGTATAATTTTACCGGAGTGCACTTGTGACAAAGTTGAGAAACCTTGTATTTGTCGCCATCGCACTTTTACCTTCCCTACTGTTGTATGCGAATGTAAAGGTAAACCGGGGTCAACTCCATCTTCAAGAAGTTCATTTCCTTCATATGAGGAAGGCGATTATAATGGCGCAGAAATTATGGAACCACAAAGTATAAAAAGAGTACCATGCGAATGTCAAAAACCGGAACCGAAACAACTATGCTATTGTACAAAAGGTCAAGAATGTATATGCAAAACAATTGAATGTGTTTGTGGCGTACAGCGTACATGTGTATGTTTACCAACAGAGAGCGAAAGTATTCAATGTAAGGACGAACCAATTGAAAACAAATCTATATGCAGTTGTGACAAACCCGCGGTCTGTACGTGTGGTAGAACAATAAGCCAATGTACATGTTTTCCTGTCAAATTATGCAAATGCGGTGATCCTGACAATTGCAAATGTTATTCGGTGTGCGATTGCAAAGGGGTATGCCTCTGTGATACAAAACCTTTAATAACAAAGGCATGCATATGTGTAGATTCTTCGAAAGTTCCAGTGACAGACTTAGTCTGTACTTGTCCAAAGAAAGAAGACAATAAAATTCGAAAGGTTCGTGCAGGAAAACATGGTTATAGGTGGTGTCATGAGGTAGATCCACATCATACTTATTTTGATTATGCATATGATAGATATGACAAGATAGAAAAAAAAGAATCAGTCATAGAAAACGTTGTCATACAAGGCCTCCACGACGAACCAACTCAGGAAGAAGTCTGTCCAGTACATGAAATCAAAGCTCCAAAGTACGTGAAAAAAGTTAGGCGACCATCTTTAGACTGCTGTAGTGCAGTAGGAGGTATTGTATTTTATTTATAATATTGACATCTTTTTTCTATGTAACTTAACATAACTTTAATATACCATACTAGCTTTTGTCCGCGATTTTGACTGCATGGAAGATATTTTTGACATGACTTAACGTCCCCTGGATGGGCCAGAGGGCGTTCAAAGTGTATTTCTTCGTGTCTTGAGCTTCGCCCTTGATTTCGTTCTATGCCTTGCCGATATTCTTCTTCTTATTTCCTGTATCACTGTTCTTCGCCAGGTTTGTTTAGGATGACCACGCTTGCGTTTCTCTTGAAGTCCAAATTTAGTGACTGTTTGGTAGTCATTGGGCAATCCAGTTTCTTTGGCAATATTTGATCGACTGGTTGATTGGTGTTTCCTAACAGCGTTCCAACAGCTTTTGGTTGAAGCTGTTCTCGGGCCCGCATTTGATGCCCGCAACATCCGCTGATATTGATCTGAAAAAATACGCATCGGCTGTTACAGTATAAACCTGAATCAGCAACAATCTTGGTACAGACTTTGTGTTAGCCCTGAATATTTGAAGCTTAACACTTCTAGTCCATTTCCGTGATTGTCATTGGTCGATGCTGTAAAAAGACGCTCAGCCTTGGCATTACGCGAAATGATCTTTTCTTCCTTTATGACACGATTCTAGTTGCGACACGACCGCGTGTTGATTATGAGCCATTCCGAATGTTGATGCCAGGCTCAAAGTTTTCAAAGGCAGTTGCGGTGTGTGTCACTCAGTAGGCAAAGATCGTAATACATAACCACAATCTAATGTTTTTTTTCAACTTATTTATTGTGCATTTTTGTGATCACTCGCACAGGGTCCTTTAATTTCCATAACTCTTTTTCAACTTCTGAGTTGATCCCATTCAAATTTGGAAGAGTAATTAACCCAAAGGCTAGTAAAATAGGGTATAAATGATTGTTCACCCACTAAGTTTTACAATAAGGACGGACACCGTTAAAACTTGGCACACACAAATAAAGTTCTAATGTTACTGCAACCTGTAGTTTTTCTGGTGATGGATACAAAAGCCGTTCGAGGGAACTTCTCATCTGCTTACAGCAACAGCTACTTCATGTCCAGGTTTATTCATCTTAATGAGAACTTTATTTACACTACTAAAAGTACAGAGAACTTACAGTAAATATGTAATAGCTAACTTATGTTTTATATTGGTTAATTTACCTAATCAAATTAGGTAAATACAAATTTTAAATAGGTAACTATGAATAACAATTTTTTTTCTATGAAATGAAAACTTGGATGAATAATATTAAAAATTGCCTCTTCAACGTATGAACATTTCGGCCGCGCATAAAATAGAAACAAATAAACTTTGATTTTGGTAAATAAGATATTTAGCTAATCTTGTTTTTATTCAGGAATGAGTATTACTGTGGAGTGTCTTGGGGAGGATAAAGATAAATTACTGGTTCAAGTTGTAATGCATTCTTCAAAGGAAGGCGCTAAAACAGGCTCCAGACTTGTTAGTATATTAGACTGTAATCTCCATACAATGGAAGAAAACAGAACAGAGTAAGCCTATGTTTGGTGTTTTACGTAGTTTTCTGAAATATTCGAAAATTAATCTAGAAGTAGTAGTAGACATCATAATCATTGGGGACGACGAAGTCCCGGTTCACCAGATATCTCGACCATCCTCATTTTTAATTACACAATTTAGAGGATTCTTCATTTGATTTTGGTATCTTTTCAATGTGTCGTAACAACATTTACAGCACCATTGGTATCACAAGCGATGTCGCCACATAAGGTAGGTGTGTTTAATTAAGAAATTATTCTATTTTATCTATACTAATATTATAAAGAGGTAAAGTTTGTGAGTTTGTATGTCCAGGTTAATCTCCGGTATTACTGATCCGATTTTGAAAATTCTTTCACTGTTACAAAGATATATTATCCCTGAGTGCTATAGACTACTTTTTACCGCAATAACCGATACACACGCGAGCGAAAGCTAGTTTATTTATAAAATGAGTTCATTTGACTCCATTCAATTTTTATTTCGCGTTAGTTGTTGATTTTTTTAGCAGTTTCATTTGATAAAAGTGCTTTTCTAGTCTCTATCTCTTTACCTCATTCAGATCCGTTCAATCATTGTGTCGTGGATGGGTAACAAACAGGCATGGGATAAAATCATAGTGTACTGTGAAAGACCGGTGATTTTTCATTCAGTTAGGGTTACTACTTACTCACTCGTTGTTGCCAATAAGCTGTTTTCAGACGATGCATAAAGACCCTATTTCGTCTATTTAACAGTAAATATAGTAATTATTTTGCTGCCATTCCCCATTTAATAATTTAAAAAATACTAGATTTACTGCTATCTAGCGTTTAACCTACCTACCTAACCTACGTACGCAAAAATCGAATTATATATCACAGTTCACTGTGATGATGTCCCATGTCTAATAACAAAAAAGTTATTCTCACAAACTTTCAAATTTAAAATATTAATGGGATTTTTTGTATCCTAGGCACATTACGAAGAATAATCTTAGTAAAGAAAGACGTAGCTACATGGCTATTTGTGATAGTGGTTACTACAATAAACTAACACGTATTTGTGGTGAAAAATATGTTGTAAAACGTATCTACCATACCTTTGAAGAGGCGCATGATTTTCTTTTGGAAGGTGGAAATATTGTGTTATTGCGATACATTGCCCTTACTAGGTATAGGGGCAAAATTAAGACGGATACTGTTATGATGGATGGTCACATCTGCCAAAGTATTTACGTAAGTATATTTATGTTCATTAACGCTTGTAGCATTCGGGATGTCCACAGAATACTGTATTCCCCGGTCTGTGAGGATGCCCACTGGTGGAATTAGACATTTGCCGCCAGTAGGCTATTCAAATTTTGTCGGTCCTACTGATCCGTACTGATTCGATACCCTTATTTATAATTTTATTGGTTACGTGCAAAACATTTAACATTTTTAACATTTTGCACACTTACGCGTATTACTCCGATAGCTGTTTACTAGTTAGAAAATGGCAAAGTACGTCATTTTTCGGTGGTGGGGACCGGAACTAAACTCGGAAGCCTCGGAGCTGTTATTAAAAACACACTTTCCTGGATGTCGCATAACAGATGTGATTTCAACATGGGATGACAAATGGGAAAAAACACCAGACGATATATAGACTGGGACACGGCCCGCAAAGTTTTCAACCGTGATAAACTCAGATGGGCAATTAACAGTTTCTACACTAGCAGCAAGGACTAGATAGTATCTTCCCAGACCTGCTGAGATAGAGTGATGTGAGAGAGGTTAAATACCTAGGAGTAATAGTGGACAGTAAACTTCTGTGGAATAAGCACCTCGATTAAAAAACACAAACAAAGCCTGCATTGTCTTCTGCCAATGCAAACGGCTACTTGGCAAAAGCTGGGGACTATTAACAAAGATGACACTAAGGCTCTACAAGACAGTCATAAGACCAATAATCACTTACGGTACTATTGTCTGGTAGCAGAGAACAGAGCTAAGAACTCTCGTAAACAAATTGCAGCAATTCCAGCGAGTCCCATGCTCTGCGGTTCCTGGCTGTATGCGCACGACGCCAACTACCGCACTGCAGGTGGCCCTTGGTCTGCCCCCACTGGAATTGTTCATACATCAGGAGGCTGCCATGGCGATCATCAGACTCAGACATCTGGGTCTGTTGCATAAAGGTGAGGGATCGCACTTTAAACTATGGGATCAATTAGTGTAATACAAAACACTAATAGCAGCCCCATGCGATAGGATCCCAAAACTAAATCTAGTCCATTTTACCCCAAAAAAGAAACAGGTTGGCGCGTTCACCGCAAAAAAGATACCATTTGTCGTATCACCTCAGTTTGAGAGCACCTCCCTAACTGTCTCAGCCGGCATCAGAATCCTAGGCATCGATATATCGAGCGAAGTCCAGTTTGGGGGTCACTTAGAGGGTAAGGTCAAATTGGCCTCGAAAAAGCTTGGTGTGCTGTATTTCACTCCGGCCCACCGCCTTCAGCTCTATAAGGCGCAAGTAAGACCGCATATGGAATACTGTTCTCATCTCTATGCAGGGGCACCTCAGTACCAGCTGCTCCCTCTGGACCGCATCCAACGAAGAGCGACTCGAATCGTCGATAGCGAAAAGATTTGCGACTTGCTCGATTCGTTGGCGTTACGTAGAGATGTAACTTCAGTGTGCATCCTCTATCGCATATATCATGGAGAGGCCTCCGAGGAATTGTTCGGACTAATGCCAGCCGCAAATTTCCGTCATCACGTCATCACACGGCAAAATTTTCATCCTTATTACCTGAATAGTTGGCGCTCCACTTGGGCAATTTTTGCCCCGCACAACCAATCTGTGGAATGGGTTATCATCTGCGGAATTTCCTGACCGATGCGACCTTCAAACCTTCAAGAAAAGAGCGTACTCCTTCCTAAAAGGCCGGCAACGCGTTTGTGACTCCTGAGTTGCAGACGTTCATGGGCGGCGGTGGTCACTTTCTATCAGGTGACCCGTCTGCTCGTCTGCCCCCTCTAACATAAAAAAAAACCATATCTTTACAAAAAGATACAAGAAAATTACTGAGATCAATCCAGCATTAATGAAGTCCGAATTTACACGGATGGTTCGCAAGACCTAAATATGAACATATCACTAGCGTAAGGCCAACACAGTTCCATATTCCAATGCGATTGTGTGACAATAACTTAAGCCGCCACAACGGCCATGTCAAGGGGCATTAAGGACTATAACATTCGAATACTGTCAGACAGCATGGCCGTCCTAAGGGCACTAGAGGGCAATACAATGCCCTCTGGTATTGTCTTCGAATGCCATCAAGCATTGGAGCAGCTTGCCACAGTAAATGGGATATTACTGCAATTAATTATAGGGCATAATAATTCACACGGTAACGACGCCGTAGATGGGTTACCAAGGAGGGGCTCGGTAACTCCGGCCACCGGCTCAACCATACTGCTGCCAATGCCTTTTAACCAACTTCGATCTTGGGTTAAACAGCGTACTCGTGAAGCACATAACCGAAGGTGGAAAAACTCACTCGGCTGCAGACAGTCCAAACTGGTGTTGACTGAAGACTCACCACGACTAACTTGCAGACTGATCAGTCTCAGTAGAGACTAAATGTTATAGGAAGGACCGAATAGTTATAGGAACCATAACAGGACACCTAGCCCTGAACCGACAACTATTCACCATTAATGCGACGGCCAGTCCTCTGTGCAGAGAATGTCTGAATACAGAAGAAACGGCCGCCCACGTAATCCTGGAATGCGAGGGTGTGGCCACACAAGTATAATTCCTGGTACAAAATCACTCCTAGAAGCCTGTGAACGCCCCGGAGGCTTCTGCGCTTCTGGAAGGAGCTGCGTTTAGTAAGGCCCTATCCCGAGGAAGCCAACCCCAACCTAGTTTGGGAAAAAAGGCTCTGAGAAAAAAAAGTCTAGTTTTGGCAACTTACTGTATCCGGGACGGATACAGTAAGTTAAGAGTTATGTAGACTCATATTTTTGAAAGAACAAAACAGGGTAGAAGTGGTTTCGTTATGTTTAAATTTTTTATACTGTTAATTATATTTTTTTAATACTATACGATACATATTAAGATCGATATACTAGATTTAGTAATTTTGCGTTCATATATATTTTGAAGGTCTTGAATATTTAGAGTATACATACTATACAGGTATAATCCATAACATCGATAAACTATTCATAGTCAGATTTATCATGCTGTTGTAGTAGACAACTGGGTCAATCATTATATAGACCTCACAAATTAAAAATTCATGAACTTGTAACCCCGTGTTGTCGTTTCAGCCGTTTGCATTGACTAATGAATGTTTCTTGTTAAACAGCTAATCCACCTCCGTCATTAATAGACAAATCTATTACTATTGATTAAATAAATTATGAGTAAGTTCTAAATAGATCAGGGATATTTGAACTCGTTTAATAATGTCGACAGTATCGATATTGTTTTAGTTATACAGTTTGATTTTGAAACTACTAAACAATCATGATTTGATGTTTGGATTGAAATCGTGAGATACGCGTTTCAGAGAAATGCTTAATTGACTATTTCTCTTACTTGCGAGATAATTTAAAATAATGATTGTTCTGTTAAATAAGAACCTCTGCGTTGTTAGTTTAGAATTATAGATTTGGGACTGTTCGAAATCGAATATAGGAAGTTATAATTTTGCTATAAGTCATTCTTTTCTATGCCGCATGCGATTTATTTATTGTCTATGCCGGTTTTGTTTCTTAATTATGTAGTATGTAAAAACTATCTATTCTATTCTATCTTTTCTATCTATCTAACTTATATTCTATCTTTTTACTGCTGTTTTTTGTTAGTGAATATCATTTACAGGATCCTGGACAGTTATTTAGTATGTGGGATTCGACTAGACGAAGTCTTTCCTGTTAATCATTTACGAACTTTTCCAGGTATCCCATGGTGTTAGTCAAGCTCTTGTGAACTCAACTGCTATGTTCGTAGTGAAGGTTGAACGTCATATCATTGAACCCACGGGATACGTTCACCAGACGTTGACAGTGCTTACACTCAGAGGTAATAGTGATTTCGAGTTAGCTGATGAATTGAACAAATATTAGTCAATTGATTATCTGTTACTGCTACTGAGGTCAACGCCACTATAATAACATGATTTAAACTCATACAGCAATTGGCAAAGTATAAAAAAAACAGCCAGATACAAATTTACTTACAAAAGATCAAGGTGTAACTAGTTGTTTCGTTTTTCAATATTTATTGTTTACTAATTTTACTCTGTATAATTGAGATTCGGAAAAAAATTATAATCCGAAGAAAAGTCAATCTAAAGAAATGTAAGTATTTCTTAAGATTTATAGAATATATTAGATAATATTGATAAACTGAAGATACGCGAATACTTCTACAGGCTGCAAGGTATCCCGCTTACGTTAGGCTGCCGCGCTTTAGTAATTTCCAAAGTCTTTAGCTCTTTAAGGAGCTCGTTGAATTACCTAGATTTATGAAATTAGCGACAACGAGTTGAGTTTTGTGATAATTGCTCTATTTAGGTTAAGAATTGTCACTTTTCTCTCAATCATAAAATTCCTAATACGTATAGGTTTAATGGACGACGCTTAATTATGTGACATAGGTATTTACACTACGGGGAAAGTGGCTGCGAAACATTGCTACCAGCTGGAGCTATCAGAATTCGTGACATCGTGTCATTACATACATTTCCAATAAGAACGCTCCTTGATTAATTAATGTTGTCACAAAATGTATTTAGTTCGTATATTATCAAAAAAAATATATAAACCTGATCATAAGAAATGGTATCTAAAAACAACTTGTTTGGTAGTGTAAATGTGATATGAATCCTAATTTTAACTAACTTAAAATAAGAGTACTCGTAAATAGTATACCCACACAGCACAATCTTCAGCAAACCTAAAAATAATATTCGCTTTATGTTGTAGCTCCGTTGTAATGTTACGTAGTATTGTCTTTAAAACTTTGTGGAAAGGTTAATGGGTGTGTTTTTACTGTTTTTTTGTACCCACCCACTAGTACCCACTGAACTGTCTTTCCTTTACGGACACGTTAAGGTTATTGAAAAAATATCAACAATACCAAAAAAAATTAAAACACAAAATATCCATGTTTCACGTGCTAAATATAAATAAATAAATATTTTTACGCTAAACATCGATGTTTTTCTAAGATCGACGAAAATCAATGATTCTAGGTCACATTGTCAGTCATGAATGGGCAGATAGCTGCTACATGCTACACCTGAATCCACTTTTGGAGGTAATACCCGAAAAAGACCTCATCGAAGAGCACGCTCCCCTTCGCAAGAAGTGGCGTGAAGATCTGCAGCTACTCTCTGATTACTTAGACTTCAAGGTATGAGTACACTTGTTGCCCAAATTGTTTCAGCTCAGCTTGTCTAAATAGGATTAGGTATACGTAAGTATGGTTGATCCTATTATTAGTACGTGTACGTTTACACGTGTTAAAGGCTTCTTGTTAAGACTGAAAATGTTAAAAGAGCTTTTATTTCCGCTAGTTCAGTTCTTCAGTTCAAATGCCGGAAAACACGACGACAACCATCCTTGAGATGATTCTATCTACAGTTAAAAACAATTTTTACTTAAACTGACGAGTATTTTATATTTGTGAAAATTTATATAATTTAGAAAATTTATGTGTAAGAAAATATCTAATATTCCCATTTTCAATGAATTCTAACGAATAAAAGTGTAGTTTTGAAAGAGAAATACCGTCTGGTAAAACCATCGCTGCGGAATAAATCAAATACGGCGAGTCAGTCATTTTTTAAATCAATTGAATTCTAGGGAAACTTTGCAAAAAGATTAGTTAGTTCAGTTTCATAAGTAAATTCTTCACCAAGTTCAATCAATCGAAGTGCACATAAACTGAAACTTTGAACTGGCTACAGTATACTAGTACTTGAACAAAAACTTGCCGTCTACATAGTATTTACTTATTATACATTGGATTTTGCTTTTTGCAAATTGAAGCTAAAAATATGTCTATTCCACTTTAAAGATAATAAACTATTCTTTTGCATTCGCCTCGAAGAAACACAAACCAACAACCAAGTAGCAACAGCAAGTTTATTAATATGTGTTATATTAATTAAAAACTTGCATGAAGCTTTCATAAACGGTTCTTTAATTAAGTATTTTGATAGCTTATAATGTTGTTCGTTATACTTTCGCGGTACAAGAATCGTACCACTGCTCTTTAAATATATAAACATATTCAAAAACAGTGAAGGCCTCGTCATTCATATACATACAATTTCAATTAAAATTCTTTTGATCTGTCTTCACCTTATGACACATATTGTTTACTTGAGAAATGTAACGTGTACAACTTGATTTTATTAACGCTTCATTTCGCGTGTGCTACTTTATTTTCATTTCACTACATACAAAGAATAATTGGAGAGAATAAAAAAAATATCTTTAAAAATCTAGAGTTAAGATTTAAAATATGCACGAAAATGCAAACAGGACAAAAAATATTTTGTAGGCATGTCATCGATGTGCTGTGAGTGGTCGAGGCCAAGTCTAAAACTGTTCGTACTAGCGCTTGTAGTCCAAAAATCTTTTTGTGATGAGAGTTCTAAAGTATTTCGTAGCACCAGGAACCACCTACCGCATGATTACCACAATAGCCAGATACCTTTAGGGATTAGATTAAAATAAAATTTGTAAGAGTTTGATAGTATGGAAACTCAGATTCAACAAATAATGAAATCCTGAAAGGTTTAAGTTAGTATGGTATTATAGCACCAAGAAAGCCGACAATCGCATGAATACGAGCCACACTGCGAGGAAAGACAAACTTTTTGTTTTGACGAGAACTCTCGGATTTCAGTGTAGTCGAGCGTGTGGCACAGTCGGATGTTTGAGCTGTAATCCTTTTGCTCGAGCTTTAAACATGTTGTCTCTTCACGACCAACTTTATCATCTTGCTGTGGAAGCTAGTCCTTATTTATTGACTAGCTTTCATTCAGACTCAAGTTTGTTATTGGAAATGTTACGTGAATGAAATAGAGAAAGAGAGAGAAAGTTTAGAGAAAAGGCAAACAAATAATGCAATGGAATCTGTATATTCGTAGTATATATCTAATATAATAAAGTGCACTTAGCATTGCATAAATACAGCTCATCAAAATCTCAGCCAAAAACATCCACTGGACATGGACCTTTTCTATTTTTTACGTGTGGAAACCCCATCGGGCCGTCACCCTACCGGGGTTCGCGGCGTAGTGGTGTGTCGGAATTAGACCGACTAAAACCACAGGCGCAGAGTGGCACACTCTGCACCTGTTACAGGAGAGATCGGGGAACCGCTCCCCCAAGGTGTGCTACAGCAACCTGTTCTGTGCAATTCGTTCGCTCGTTTGTTAAAGTAAAATCTCTGTAATATCTGTAAAAATAAATTTATTTCAAATAAAGGTGCAATACCACTCTTATATGGGCATAAAAAAAATGTGTACAAACAGAAAAACATTACGGTAGTGTCAACAGAAACTGGTACCCATGGTAAGATCGAACTTGTGTTATGGGTACCAGAGCTCTCTCAGCTTATACACTTATTAAATTGTCCTGGGTGTGTATGTGTGTGTATTTGTGTGTGTGTTCGTAAATATATGGTTGGGCATTTTATTACAGAACGGATACTCTACGAAGATTTTCTGTATCCATATAGTTAAGGGATTTTAACTATTTACGAACTTTTCCTTGCATTGGTTTTTTGCTGTTTATCCATACTAATATTATAAAGCTAAAGAGTTTGTTTGTTTGTTTGTTTGTTTGAACGCGCTAATCTCAGGAACTACTGGTCCGATTTGAAAAATTCTTTCAGTGTTAGATAGCCCATTTATCGAGGAAGGCTATAGGCTATATATCATCACGCTAAGACCAATAGGAGGGGAGCACCAATGAAGAATGTTCCAAAAACAGAGAAAATTTATTACTATTGAGAGACGCAGACGAAGTTGCGCGAGTCAGCTAGTGTTGTTATATAGGTGACTACTAATTACAGGATAATGACGACGCTGAGCAAGAGTATGAGCCGAGTTTCTAGAATCATTCATATCTTATTGGTTTATTTATTAATAGGTTTATTAGTGTATGCTTAATGTTAGATCAAAACTTTTTAGACATTATCCGTTTAAAATGTTTTCAACAGACTGTACGTACGTCCGAGGGAGGTCGGTACATGACAGAAAGTGGAGCCTTGACAGGAGTGGTGCGTGACTACCTTCAAGCCATCTTGTTCTTGCGCCCTCAAGACACAGTGCGCTTCACCAGACACTATTTCGGATCGGTTCTCTCAGCATTGGACATTCCACACGATGACTACTTTGACCCTGCGACAAGACACGTTAGATACTATTACTTTGAAGAGTGATATTGTTTTTACATACATTTGATATGATTGTTTTAGCTTTTTAGGTAACTTAGTTTTTCACAAACTTTTTCACTTTGTAATATGCATTTATTTTCATTTACATTATATAACGAAATTCAGAAGTTTAACGATGTCCACTTTAGGTATATCTGCTGTAGTTTCTTTAAAATTTATTATATTAACATGAAAATTAAAGTTTTGAAGTTTAATTTAAGTTTTATTGTTTTTGACGACTTTTATTTTTGACGTTTAGTTTCATGTTTCTTTTTTTCACTTTCACTTCACTCTCTAAACGAAACTTCACAATAGTTATAAACAGGTAAAATACAAAATAGTACCATTTTCCCTGCCAGCCAGTTTTGTTTAGAGCTATTATCGAGAATCCTCACCCCTTAAGTCCCTTGCAATATTTCTCCATCAAACAATCTATACTAATATTATAAAGCTGAAGAGTTTGTTTGTTTGTTTGAACGCGCTAATCTCAGGAACTACTGGTCCGATTTAAAAAATTCTTTCAGTGTTAGATAGCCCATTTATCGAGGAAGGCTATAGGCTATATATCATCACGCTAAGACCAATAGGAGCGGAGCACCAATGAAGAATTTATTACTATTGAGAGACGCAGACGAAGTTGCGCGGGTCAGCTAGTGAATAATATGAGTTTAATTTCGTTCTTAAGAAATACAGTAAATTATAAAGTAACAATTTTGACGTAACTCAATCATAAACCCAGTAGAATAGAATTACTGATTTGAAAATTACGTACTCGCGACTTGCTTTACTTTAGAAGTTACGTTTTAATAATATGGTTTGTCCGTACAGTATCTGTCAGTCAGTCAGTTATTGATGGTCAGCCATAAAAAGAAGCATATGTGAACAAAGTTCCACTATAATGTTCATTGCCACAATACACACTGGTTGAAATAACATTTTGGCGTAATTGGAAAAATATTATTTTAACCAGTATGTATTGTCAATGATACAAAACATAACGGTGGGGTTGGATGGGTCGTGGGGTTTCACTATGAGCTTGATGAAAGAAGAAGGGTTTGCTGAGGGTTACTCTAAAGGATCTAATTTGGAATGAGGAGGTACACAAACGAACTTAGAATATCAGCACAACAATCTATCAGCAAGTTGAAGAGGCACTAGACTAGTAACATATAACGCAGAACAGATGGTTGACGTGGTCAGGAGATTTTGGATTGGAGATTACGGATCGGAACGCACCGCGCAGATCTGCTAGTGTGAAAAGCGAACTTTAAGATAGAATCGGAATTTCTCGACATTATAAATTGACTTGGTACAAACGAGTACCATTTGGTTTGGGTTATATTCGTGCATTACAAGCGTGATAAGATTTATATATCTTAATATTACCGAGCGGTGATAGAGTTGGCGGTCAGATGGTAGGTGAGACGTCAGACCCATTAAATGTAACTATTATAAGCTTTGCATGTATTTTCTAAACAAAAGTGGACTGTAAAATATTACTAGAAAAGTCAGTCAATTAAATGAACTTTTCTCGTAATAATAGGAAATTCAGCTTAAAATAAAATATTATAAAAAGTTAAACGACTCGTCGTAATATTAAACTAAAACAGTTTATTTCTATACTGTCCAACACTGTTTTATGAAAATTGTCTATCTCAAAGTTTCATACAGCGAATATGGTAAGATTTATGTGAAAACGTGTCTAATATTGCTCACTTAGATATTCTTAGTAGTGTATTTTATATACATTTATTCAGCGGAGGATTTGCGTATGTCACGCAAGATCCCTCCAAACAAAATGACAAAACTGCGCCGGAGAAGGCCGACGGACACGAAAAGAATTTTAATTTTTTGTTCCTTTTGCACAAAGGAATTTATTATTAAGCCCCCGTATCACATGCATACGATATTATGGGAAGGACAAACCCAGTTTTGACGCACCTTTCTTTTAAGAAGGAATTTATATAAATACGAATTTCATACACTCACTATTTCAATTACCTGACAAGTCGTGATGTTATGGCTGTTCCATTATTTTATATTCCGATATCATTTCATATTTATTGCTTGTACCGGGGAAACATACTTTAAGGTAAATATTTTGGTGTATAAGATGTCCACGTATTGCATTGAAAGAATATACGAATAGGCTTTATTTTGACGATGACCAAGTCTTACTATCGGTAAGTCCAATAAGATGAAAATTACTAGTAGAACAAATGGTAAGATTAGGACAATATTTTTATAGGGTCAATTTCGAAGGTCAATATTTTTTGTTTACATACATTATAACAGTTATTGATAAGCAATATTGTTAACGAACTTTCACTTAAATATGATTTAATTTTTAATTAGACGTTTACACAATTTTTAAATTTATTTTAAAATTTTAATAAAAAAGTCAATTAGCTCGAATAAAAGTGTTGTTTTTATTGTACTCAATAAACTTGTCTTTTGCGCAATTATACTGTATAATAGTATGGTAGCAGTTTCAGGTTTTTCATGTTGTTTATCTACAGTCGACTCGTATAAAACAGTGAACAGGACCTAAAGAGGGTTTATTATAAACAGCAAACAACTTACCTTTAATGCGTTTCGCATTAATAAACTCACCACGACTCCTTGTACCACGGTCAACAAATTTGATTAACTAAAGGGATATCAGTAAGTACTTGTAGTGTGCAAGTTTTTCTCTTGTGGGTCACGTAATTAATTATGAAGAGTAGTGTCTTCAAGTATAAAAGAAGTATTATAATAATATGATTTTCCATTGGTCACTAAATTGATATGAAGAATAAAATTATTCTCCTAAAACTTTGACAGCGTCGTTCGTGCACGTTTTTATACTCCTAAGATGGCACACGTGATTACACAATCTTTTGATTCATTTTCTATTTGTGTGTCCCATTTTCCCATGTCCCATTTTTTGTGTAGTCCCATTTTCGAATTATTCATCATCATCATCATCTAGTCTAACGAATTATTGTTTTTTTGTTAATGACAAGTAGCCTAATCGAGTTATTTACGAGTATATTGTCTAAAAGCTGCAGCATAATTATTGTTTCAAAATTGAATACTAAACAGAAGTGTTGTTTAGAATAATTTGATAAAGCACGATCACTAAGTGGGATAAGCGTTATAAGTTTAAATTAATTTGTTACGACGGGTCTACTGATAGGGCAATACAGTTTACAAACAAGACTAGACAAGCCGCTTTCTACTATGGCATACAAATTGGCAACATTATAACTACAAAATTAGAGTTTAATAACTTGGAGAATGTGTTTTACGAATGAAACTAAAAAGTGTCTTAGTTTCATGTGCTGTGTTAAGTTATGCTATTGATATCAATAACATATGTTCCTGATAATATTCTAGATATTTCACTGGATTAACTCGTTTTTTGCAACATAAAAACGAGTTAATCCAGTGAAATATCAAATATTTATTTTTATTTCCAAAAAATCTTTTTGATTTATTTTAAATCGTCTCTTATCTTGAATTCGTCTCTCATGCCTTTATATACATATTATACATATTTTTGGTTCCACTTAAAGCGGTTTGCATCTATTGTAATCGCTTGGGCCAAGTTCCTGGAATGCGTGTTTTCACAAGGGCTTCAAATCATCCAATAACATCATGCTTGACCCAGCAACTGATCCCGGTGATTTAATTTGGATAATAAGTATTAGATGCAATACCTTTTAGGTATAAATGAAATAATCCATACTTCTACACTTATATTATACCTAAATGTGAAAGTGAGTTTGTTTGTACGCTTCCACGCCTAAACCACTAAAATGACTTTAAAAATTAGTTTACTGTGATGTGCTAATCAGACTGCGATATACACATCGCAGTCCCCGACGAACACTATGGTAATCGCTATTACGATAGAATCGGGTTTATTAAATATTCGTTATCTACACACCCTATTACAATCATTAATATTTTTTTATGATCGGCCGATGAATACTTTTGGATTTATCGCTTCAATAATGATCTTTATGTTTTTGTTCTACGTATAACATAAGTGAAAAATTTACACGATCAATAACGCAAAAACCTATTACCAAATCTCAAAAGTCAACATTTTAGAGTAAGCGGCTATTACCATATTGTTCGAGGGAAAAATGACAGAATCTTATTAGTGGCAAGAGTTGGTTAAACGACACCCAAGGCCGAAAAATTCAGTGGATGGATGGAGAAATTGATGGAGGTGAGAGTTTCTCATTTGAAACCAACAATTTTATAGTATAAGTATGATTTCGACAATGATTCTTTCGAGTTCGATACAAAACTTCAACTAAACAAACCCAAACGAGGACGGAAACCCGTCCCTGGCCAGGTTGATGTACAAACACTCAAAAATGTTTACAGCCACCCTTTACCTATCACCAAGGCTCTGTTTGCTGACCTGAAGTCTTTGTGTGAAAGTGAGGCCATCCCTAAATGTTATCACAGTTTTTATAGTAATTTAAATTATGCAGATCTCAATATTATACCTGAACAACAACAAGAAGATATAGATAAAAATTAAATTCAGTAATTTTTGTTTCATATTATAATAATAAAAATTGATAATTTTTGCGTTTAATTTGTCGCCATTAAATAGTAAATTTATAATCAACTAGCGTGTGCCCGCGACTTCGTCCGCATGGAATAGTGACTTTGGGTCCCATTTGAGTGAATCCCAAGCAATGACGATACTTTCATACAACATTTCAACCCCTATTTCCACCCCTTACAACCCTTTTTTGTTTTAGTATATGTCCTTCCTCAGGCTCTAGGGTATCTGTGTACTAATTTAATATAAATCGGTTCAGTACTTTTAGCGTGAAAGCTACACAGACAGACAGAGTTACTTTCGCATTTATAATATTAGTAAGGATTGTATGTCTTGCCCAATTGAAAACTCGCTAGATTATAAGCTGACAATATTTAGATTTAATTTACAGTGCTACAAATAACCCTGTAAAATTAATACAATATGCATCAAAACATAA